AAGGGGCACCAGTAAGGGGCACGCATAATACATTAAGACAGAACGAAGATTAGTTAAAGAAAGGTCGTATCCTTCATCTCGTAAAGTTTCCATCCTCTCGGCCTCCGATTACCATAATGGGTTTCTCTACCGGCGCCTCTCCGCATAAATCCAATGCCGATGCGACGCATCCCGTTATATAGCTGCCATTAATGACCTCTTCCGTTATCGAATTCGACAATGCTTCTAGCTCGTGTTCTCAGCCGTTACGACGATTGGCCTTCCTGACTAAACCAGATTACGCAACTACCAGGTATTTACCAGGTATTTACCAGGTATTCTTAATACTCTCCCACTAGAAGGTTTATAGAAATTTCTCTCAGCTTTAACTGCCAATTGTTAGCGCACGTGAACCTAAATAGCAAGATTATAGTAACTTTGCAGGTCTATAGGCGAGATATACGGATTGTCATCTCATTTTATACTTCATGCGCACTTCTATTCTCTACCTAGGTACTCATAGGCTTGATGTCTACTTAGTTACTAATACCTGTATAAGTGAGAAACAAGCTTGCGTTGTTATAATGGGATTTGTAGATTAGTTATTGCACGACTATTTATAATAAACATCATCAATTACCACTTCACTAAAGTCTTTCCTAATATACCTACCTCTATTATCAAACGTGTCTGGCATTGGGCAAGCTTTGCTATGTAGGTGTCTGGAAATTCAACAGCGGAATACAATCTACCGAAACCCGGTTCAAGATCACCCGCGCACGTCCCTCAGATGTGAGGTTATCGTCACTCTAGCAGAATTATGGTAAGATCCATTGCGCTATGACGAGTATACATAGCGTATGTATGCATGTAGATCTTAGGTGATCCGTCGCAAGGTTTACTTCCAACATCAGACCATCTCAGTTTCAGGCTTCAAACACTTATGCCTCTTGACCACGTGCTATGCTTGAGAGCAAACAGTAACAAGATAATATCAAAGATAATATCATGTTTTTGGTATGGTGTATGACGTATGGCAGAGCTATTAAGATAGAATCCAAACCTTGAAGCGGATAGCCGCGCACATACATCCACTTTCACAATCAATCGGACTTTTTTCTTCACATCGTTTATAGTCCTTACGGCCCAGTCTGGCGGCACTGAGATAATCCCTTTGGGACGGACTTCGGATGGTTTCTACATAGGAACCTGGTTTTCTGGTATTTTCTTCAATGGCTACTTGCAGAGAATCAAAGATGATATCCCCGCGTTGCAATTATTATGGAAATATCGAATCTAGATCGTCAGATTATTCGAGTATTAGAATGTTTGCCGCGGCATATATGCAACAATACATATACATACACCAACATCGATTCTCTGATCAACTATGCTGTGACCATATTCTTTACTTCTGCAGCATCACATGCCTTAGGAGGCCTAGAGATCTTCCTTGTGGATGCTCGAGACATATGTGTTCCCCCCGCATATAGAACCCTGCTCGTTGGAGGCGAACGGAGATGTACAGTACCTGAAAGGGAACTAAGAGCTGTTCATTTGTCTTTGCTCATCCCCCACTTTGTGTGCTCGCATAATGGAGCCCCAGCGTAATAACATGACTATTCTGAAATAGGATACTATTCTCATAGAGTACCTAATGTTATGCGGAACAGAACAGGCCATCTTTAAAGCATCGCATCTTTTGCTGTGCTATAGGTAATAAAAGTAGATCATAACGTGAAGACGACTAGGTAGTGACCAACCCACCACGATGCTGCGATATCGGTGTGATGTGATAGAAGTTCGGGTTATTATGGGATGTCTATGTAAGTGCCCACGCCACTATGTAGGCAGGTAAGTAATCGATCGTACAGCATCAATGCCTGTAGTCAAGACTTGCTGGTTGAAAAATCATGCTATCACGCCGCTAAACCTCTACTGCTTATGTGTTCTATCTTGTAGACTCTCGGCATCAATAAACGAAAGCCCCATTGTAAAGGCAGCCTGATCCCAAACCCTCCCTGCCCTCTCACCCCACCATTATGTACGTATATGGTCCCCGAGAGCTTGCGAGCTTGTATCTGCATCTGTATAGTATGATCGTGCGTTAGGTATGCAAGAGTGGCAGTGTCCCTGCATTAAGCATCGCGCACCCGCCTCATTGATGCTCGGGATCAGGGCTACCAGTTAAAAGAAAGTCCTGGACTCCGAATCCCTGCAAGTGTGCGTGGTAAGCTAGATGCGGGGATACCTTCCGAAGGTACGCTACCTGTGGCAACTAACTGCTAAATTCTCAAAGCTCTTCCGACTGGTGCTTCCAGTCCGGATTCTGCCGCTCTAAGGGATGTCTTAGAAGAGACAAGACGGGGTGAGAGTTCTACTCGTGTATTCATACGTCAACGCCAACAGCAATGCTGCAGAACGTTGAGAAATCAGTAAGCCAACTTCTACCATTACTTTAATTATGTGTGGTGGTATTGGTATTGTCAACATATAAGTATCTAGAGCCCGCTTATTACTCGGGGAGGAGGGGCTTCCAAGGCATGTACACGCTTGGAGAGGTACATATGCACGTGGATAACCATGCTTTACACGCACTGTATACCCCTCCGGTTGGAAGATCTATCAGAGGTACGTATCACGTAATTCTCGGACCCTGAACTCTACACTATCACTAGAACCCCTGAATTCCTAGTACCTATACTATGTATGTACATAATAGGGTTGTCCTGGGTAGGTTAGAAGGGTGTGCATCTAGACAACCTGAAGACAGTTAGGGTATTGGCAAATGACGTATAAGTCCACCTAGACCAAACGACAATGTTGCCGGCGACTAGTTTCCCGGTCAAAGCCTTGCCATTAGACGCATTCTTAGCGCTTTTGAACGTGAGCTCACTATTATATTCAAGGCATACACCTGATACTCTAATGTATAACAAGGGCCCTCCCTGTCTATCGGAACAATATAGTGACCGCCATCCCGGAGAATTATCTTATAGCCTAGATATACGGAAGCTACCGTTGCTCGTAGGATTCAAACAGAAAGGTTAGCGACTGATCATCTGTTTAACTTTTCGAGGTTACCATTTGCCATGTATTCCGGATATCCGAGCTCATCTCGAGAGACCAACACCCTCTATATTGCGAGACATGGATACCTGTAAAAGCTATAAAGCTAGTCTTGAATTTTATCACGACGATGAGCTAAGATCCAAGACTCGGTGAGTAGGTACCTAGGTAGGTCTACATCAAGGGTTAATTATGGTTATGGTATATAGGAGGGTTTTAGAAATGCCTCCGCCTATGTTAAAGTATTACCGACTAATTCCAACGTTTGAGAGATACTAGTATGAGGTATAGACTATTATAGTAGCCGGATATAGACTTTTTAGCTATGTAGGTACTATTATGATCTTTCTCTAGGTACACGTAGGACGCAATTAGAGTGTTTTCGTGGAGGGCGATGCTTAATGTTTACTTATTTACCCTTGTTTATATTTTTAGACACCGTAGCTAGTCTCCCTACGCATGCAAGGCTACTAGTTTTAATATTTTACCTTACATTTAATATTAAGAGGTATATGACCATTTCAGCCTTTCTAGTCTTTTAGGTCCTATTGGTAATATAGTATTCCGGTAACTTAAACGGCTTATTTTATGTATAAGTCAAACCACCCTTACTGGGGCCACCCTAGTGGGGGCCACCCATTTCCCATACAAAATCAACAACTTCGCATGTCTATAATTAATTCAAGGAAATAGATAAAAATATATAATATCTTATGTTTTACTTTGCGATCATTATAATAGCTTATTTACATTTTATCATGTTTAAAATTTAATGTTTTGATAGTAAATAATAAAGTGTATTTTTAATGTTATTTTGAAAATTTTGAAAATTTTAATTTTATATGGGAATTTTATCAAATTACCATAAAACCTTATAAACGCTTATAACTTCTCAGATAAATAAGTTATATAATTGGCCCTAAATTTAAAAGTTGTACTAAAACGTTCCTTATTTAACGATATAGATTCTACATTTATACCATATTAATTGGTAAAGTTATAAGCAATAATATCCCTTAACAGCTTTGCATATAAATTTGTATGTGTAATTGTTAGTGTATACTCTTGTATTCATTTCACCACAGATATTAGCCCTGCCATTTTTTCAAAATTTTATACCTGGTGAAAATCCAATACCGTACTCAAAATCAAAGACCGTATAATTTTATCTATTTTCTTGAATTAAATACAGATATGCGAAATCGTTGATTTTGTATGGGAAATGGGTGGCCCCCACTAGGGTGGCCCCAGTAAGGGTGGTTTGACTTACCTACGTAACGAAATTGACAATACCATTATATAAGAATATGGTGCGGTGTAAACCTTAGGCTTTTGTGTTACCTGGAGGGTGACCTCTTGTATAACCAGTGGTAGAAAGAGACGTTGTATTGATGATATCCGGATATACACGCTACTACTCACCGTGATACTATCGACAATTTGGGAAATCATTAGTTTTGCGCTCATGTATAAATCGATTTTAAATCCATACAACGAATTATATATCCCTTTTGGAGTCAACGTCACTTAAAAGACTATTGGTGGCGGGGAACGATTGACAGATAAAGTTCCGACTTAGAAATATAAAAGATGATAACTTAAGGTATGTTCGATGCCTCCTTTATACTGTACGAGACATTAGGTTAATATATAGTACTTTGAGAGCAGCTAAAGACTCGATATAACCACTGATACACATGGGAATGTTATCTCTAAAAATAACATGAAAATGAATGATTATAGGTAGTTTAGGCGCTCTAATGAATACCGAAGGGCTCAAGTGAACTCAAACGATAGAAATAGGTAGTCGTCCAATAGGTATTACGTATAAATTATAGTATTTTACAACATGGTAAATAGGCCAACCCCTTTATAAGCCGTGCTGCGTAGCCAGATCTTCGTCCATAACACACAGCATCTGACCCTTCACATCCGTGCCTGATACAAGGTGCTCATGGGCTTTTACAGCGTTGCTGGGCCTGAATAGCTTCGCAATTATTAGCGACAGCTCCCCGCTCCGGACCTTTCTCAATATTGCCTGGAAGTCTTCGAGCCAGACCTGCTGCTGTATCGCCTTGTAGTTGGCAACAACACACCATAATCTCATTCTCAAGCGTAACCGCTGCCGAATCACGGTTATAAGGTCGAGTTCGTTTTGCCGTAGTCCGGATCCCACTAGTAGAAATCTTTGACATGACACCAATCACTATAACTTGCCCGATATCCTCTTTTATCGCCTGGTAACTTCTTTGGGTGTTTTCTTCGCTCCCCACCGCGTCATACGCCACGTCTACCCCTTCGGCGCTAGTAAAGGCTCGGATTTGGTCTACGAGGTCAGGCGTATGGTGGTTGATCGGAACTACCCTTAGAGACTTCACATATTCGAATTTTGATAGTGGACATCTCCCTATCATCTTCAGGTCCATTTTAAACGCCTAGACCAGCTCTGCTACTGCCGTCCCAACACCTCCGCTTGTGGAGCCGATCAAGATAGACGTCTCCCTATACTTCAGACGCAGCCAAGCTTATACTCCTTGTCTCGTCTGATTACTGATCATCCGTTCTATGTAATCGAGCTTACCCCTGATAGGACCCCTTTTTAGTTCTTGTAACAATAACAGGTACTGTTGTCATAGTTATCCCCTTAAATAACATACAATTGTGCCTCCTAAAATTCTGTACAGTACATAAGGCTTCCTTAGAAAGAAGTAAATGGCTCTTGTGGAATTAGATCGACTAATCTTAAGGCCTTTTTTCAATACGTTAATGAATAAAGCCGGATTTTGCGTACCGTCCATAAATATAGCGGGATGAAATTGTATGTTAGCTAAAGGGATGGCTTATTATAGTTTGGAAATTGCTAGCCGGTACATAAAGTCACAACTTAACTAGTCGGGCGTCTTTATGAGGAGTTGTCTTAGTGTTGATAAGTGAAATAATTCTCTCCCAGTTCCCACGTTAAAGGGTTTAAGGCTTAATATACGGATTAAAAGTATAGGTAATTAAATATCTCATTTAACTAGACTTTAAAGCCAACTGTATAGTATCACGATTTTTAAATCACATACCATAGGAATCATGTAGAGATAAATTTAGCCTACCGGAGTTCCAGCTTCGAGGTTGTCAAGCATATCACCATTTCTCTTTATCTGACATTCTCAATCATCACATCGTTGATAGAAAAATAGTAACTTGTTTATTATGCGATTAAGAACTCATGACATCCCTCAAGGCCATAGATACCTCCCCATCTTGCACTAGTTTCTCAGCGCTAATTTACATGCGGGAGTCTTTATGTTGCGAGAACATACCATGCTAATTCTCGATCCTATTGTATGTCCCACTCTTACGGTTTAGAGTGAATGATATCAATAGGATAAGCACACCGACATGGGCTGAAAATTATCTATAAAATAGCAATTCCTGGAATATAGATAGGTCGTCAATAGGCTTATTTGGCTTGTTACGGTTTTTCTAGTGGTGCGCATGAAGAGAGAGAGTCTTGGAGACGACAGACCGCTTCGTAACCCAGTTTATGTGGGGAACGAGGGGAAATCAAGAAGTTATTCCAGCCTCCCAAGGGGAACTGGGTCGCCCCGTTTGTGCTGGGTGGTGGAATACGACCTTGTTGTGGTTACTATTAAACCTATGGGATATTTCCATGAATCGGCGTAGGTCTGGGCTGTCACTTTACCATGTTTGTCACAGACAAGGCCTTTTGATTGGCTCGACTAAAATCTGGGGTACCATGGGAAGATCTTGTTTTTGCGGAGCTGTTCGGAGGAGAGCATAGCGAATGTTCTGAACGGGTTTATCCGGATAGCCCGAGAGGCAAGTATATAATTAGAAGATTGTCATGATGAAAATAGAGTATAGATCCTCGACTTGTAAGCTCTCTCAGGGAGCTGGGTTAATTACATATAGCCGATATGTTGCTCTATGATCGTTTATCGGCCGCCTTGGCCATCTTCTCGCTTTCTACTAGCACTTTTGCGGTACCGCAATCGTCCGCAATCAAAGAACTCTCGCAGGTTGTGGTCTACAGTCCGCCTTCCAATTATACGGATCCAAGAGTTCTCTATGCGCGCACCGCGCAACTCCCGAATAACGACATTCTAGCAACATGGGAGAATTATAGCCCGGAACCCCCGGCGGTATACTTTCCCATCTACCGATCCAGCGACAAAGGCGCTACGTGGACGGAGCTCTCTCGAGTCGAGGACCAAGGATCCGGATACGGATTACGCTATCAGCCATTCCTCTACGTGTTGCCAGAGGATTTCGCAGGCTATAAGAAAGGAGATGTGCTACTAGCTGGTTCATCGATCCCGACAGATCTCTCAACGACTCAACTTGATCTCTATGCTTCTTCGGATAGCGGCAAGACGTGGAAGTTCCTGAGCCATGTTGCTGCTGGGGGCGAAGCCAAACCGAACAATGGTTATACTCCTGTCTGGGAACCATTCTTGCTACTTCACAATGGCAAGCTTATATACTACTACTCAGACCAACGAGACACGAACCACGGCCAGAAGCTGGCTCACCAAACCACTACCGACTTGCGCAACTGGGGTCCCGTAGTTGACGATGTGGCTTACTCTACATACAGCCAACGTCCAGGGATGCCATCAGCAGCATTGCTCCCTAACGGCCAATACATCTTCACGTATGAGTACGGCGGAGGATCGAACCCAGCAAACTCAGGCACATTCCCAGTCTACTACCGCCTCTCCAGCGACCCGGAAAACTTTAACGCTGCGGCCCATCATGTGCTGAAGACCACTGATGGCTCGGTCCCATCAGGCTCGCCATATGTTGTGTGGTCCTCGGCTGGCGGTGCGAATGGAACGATTATCGTGTCTTCGGGATGCTGTTCTCAAGTCTACATCAACAAGGCACTAGGAGACGAAAATTCGTGGACGAAAGTATCGACGCCGGAGGGAACTTCGTACACCAGGTCTCTACATGTCTTCCAGGAGGATCCTACGTCTTTTCTGATTGCAGGAGGCGGTCGTCTACCGCCTAGCACAACTAATAAGGTCACTATCAGTGTGATGAATGTCCCATGATCATTTAGCACTAGGAGAATCATGATTTAATGCAATAGTTAGCATCTACAGCTGAATAATATGGATATAGTCGTTCCTACGTGATATTAGAGAAAGTTTACTACCAAATTTGAACGAAATAGGACTTTCTTACAGGCGTTTAGCATAAGATTTCGCACTCAGAAAAGCTACCTCCAACTCTCATGGGGCAGCTCAGCCGGCCTGGGAGTGCCCGTGATCTCGTGTCGATTATTCTCTGTGATCATTTCATGCGTATTGCTCACAGTCTGCATCTCTTGCTGGTACTGTTCCCATACCTCTGCCCGTGTTTTCTGAGCCCCATAATTTGGCAGGTGGTTGATAGTCATATTTCCTTGCTGCTCTTTCTCCTTGGGATGATTTATTTTCCACAGCCAGATACCAATCGCAATTGAGATTAGGAGTAACCCCCCCAGTCCTACACCTACACCAATGCCTATCTTCGCGCCCAAGGAAAGCCCCGTTTCTGCGTCCTCATTACCTATCTCAGTCCCACTTGGTGTAGGGGGTTGAGAAAGAGAGGGCGATAGTGACGAAGTCGCCGAAGAAGTCGGCGCGTCCGTGCGAGATGCTATAAAATCGCTCCTCTGCCACCGTACGTTGATTGCTGCGGCATGTATGATGATCCCACTTAGTACAGTAACTTTGCTTATCTGGTTAGACAGGTCTGGAACCGTCACGGAGACAGATGAAATAGCAGACGATGAACAGGACAAGGTCGACCACGTCTCAGTTGGATCTGGCTGCTGTATGCACACATATCCTCTATCAAAATAAAGTTCTTGTTAGAAGCTCCATTCCTATAATCAAGTGGCAGAGTATTATAATTCAACATACAGCGGACAACAGGTCGCTCTAGTCTCGGTAAGACTTGCGATAACATCGAAAGTTCCGCACGCCGACCACCAACCAGACGGGCAGATCCCAGGGGAATAAAAACCAGACGCCGGCTCAAAACCTGGTGGGTAGCACTCGGACGTGGCACTGGGCCCCAGACTATGGTACTTGTGAGTAGTCGTGTTGCCATCCTGCAGAGTCTGCGTGTATACAATCCCCGAAAGAATAGAGTTGCACCCGGACGCCGGAGTAAATGTCGTCGTCAAAGGCCCGAGATCTGACATCGCTCGTCGGATTGAATATTAGATTATGCTCAAATAGACGGGGATTGATGTATTATGCGCATAGGAGATATGCGTGACGCTTAGAATTCGTGTCTCCAAGGAGAGGGGTGATATTTAATCTACCCCCTTGATCTGACCTTATCTACTCTGCTCTAATTGGGGGCTTGTCTTGGATTCGACTGATGGGTAAGATCCTGTACGCCGTCAGTAACTTCTCCTTGCAGATATCGATCCTTTATTAATAAAGTATAAATAGAGGCGTGAGATGGGATATTTCGATTGGCCTGTTTAAGCCATAACGCCACCGTCTCGATCTTTTCAAGATCTGTGGCCTATCACGAACACAAATATGCGCTCGGTAGTTGTGGGGTCCAGGAGACTTATATGTCGGAGAAGAGGGTTATAAAACATTGCGGAAGTTCCCCCAATTTTGACAGGTGACGAAGAGCTACACGCGGTTGGGTGATGATAAGTTAACCAGTATCTCACTGGAGGAAAGGTTGTTAGGAATACTAGACAATGTTATTCAGCAAGAAGGACTGCATAAATTTGTAATATTTATAATTCACAATATTCTACATATAGCAACAAGGTACCTAAATCATCATGATCTACCTCCTATACCTCATACATTTAATTCGGTGATACATGAACCTGCCAATACCTCCTCCAGTCAAACCAAGCCCCCATAGTCTTCTCATTCTCCCCCTGCGCCGGCTTCCACAGGCCAAACCCCTTCCCCTCGTCATACTGCGGGAACTCAGGCTTCTCCTTTAGCAACCCTCGCTTCTCACCCGTAGACAGAAACCACAGAAAATCCTCCGACACATGCACATACTCCCTCAACCCCTCGTACACATCGATCCGCGCCCCGGTCGTCCAGCTCAGCAGCAACGGCTCTAGCAGCGGCGCATCCGTAACAGACGGATGCGACGTCCCAAGCGACGTCGCGAACCACGACGGCATTCCCCGCAGCACGTTGTTCTCGACGATGTCGCGCACCGTGTCGAAGTGCGCGCGCCCGTAGAATAGGCTGTACCTGCTGCTCCACGAGTTGCTGTGGACGACGAGGACCGGCACCCGGATGTCGTCGTTTAGCTGGCCGCTCTGCTTGCCTGGATCTAGGATGATGGCGCCTTTGAACGGACGTTCTGCGCTGGGCCCGCCTCGTAGGGCTTGCATGGCGCCGGTTGCGCCGTAGCTATGGCCTGCGACTATCATATCGTCTGTGTTGAGACGGCCTTTCCAATTTATAAAATCGACGCCTTCGTCCCGCATGTTTGATTTGAATACCTCCTTTCCCTGCCCCTCGTTAATTAACTTTAGGACTCGAACGGTCTCCTCGATCTCCGCCTCTCGGAAGTCGAGCTGTGCTCGTTTGAATTCGTCTACCGTCAACTCCTTCCCGCTAGGCATTTCTACTTCCGGGACGTTGAAGGTAAGTTTCACACGATCTGGTTTTCCACTTTCCATGATAACGGACCCGGGACATGAACCGTCCCTATGCTCAAGCAGCGCTACAACATAACCTCGTGATGCGAGCTCACCAGCATAGTGAGTATAATCAGTGCGACTGCTTGCCATGCCATGAGAAAACACGATAATCGTATGCCCGCCTTTTCCAATCTGTACGACCTTCTCGATCTCCTTCATGTTGTCCCGGGTCTCCGGCATCGCCGTCACCTCAGATACAAGGTCGGCTAACGGTACGTCGACTTGAGCTGGAATTTGAACGTGTCCGACGAGAGCTTTCAGTACTCCTGTCATGACCTTGTTCATGATAAAGTTGTTAATGTGCGCGAACTTGGCGTAACCCTCGGCGGTCACGGATATCGGGTTTGGAATCCAGTGATGCTTCGCTTGACGATGAGTGGCATGGTAGATTGCTGGATAATATAACGCGAATAACACAGTATCTAACTCAAACGCATTCTTTTTTGTCTCCTTGAATCGTACCGTATCGACGATGCGCGGTGATGCTAAGGGTGTCTCGATATCAACTGCGCCGACAGGATACGGACCGCTGTAATCAGGTAATGGCCGAGGAAATGGAGGCAGCGAGAATATGTAACAAGAAACAATGATGAATATGGCTATTAATCGCCATGTGTATCTTGACCGGAGAGTACGGGGTAGTCTTGACCTCATTGGAGGCGCGTTGCTCTTGACCTCTGGAAATGGCTTCATTGTGAGTTTTGACTCGTATAAGATTCACTTTTGGAAGACATGAATTACTTTGAAGTAGAATATGAGGAATCAGATAAATGTAAGCTAAAGCTGATATCTACCTAATTTATTGAACTCGGGAGAAAGACGATGATGCAATAGTATATAAACTTGAAAGGATTTAACTAATATAGTACCTATATTTCAACTTCCAAGTTGGATCTAACAAGCGTAAAAGCGTAAAAGCTATAAGGCTAGTTAGATTATGTAAACAACTCCGCAAGATTCAGCATCTCTTGTTTTTCAGCTGAACTGACGTCAGTCATAAGTCGATTCTGATATTATTTGTACCTACCTATGTATTGTCTGCCAAGGCAAGCAACGTACATGTAGGTACCTAGGTACATTGCCACCGGACATTTGATGTCTCTACCCCTAATAAAAGTACCTAATTCTATTAGGACTAGGTACATAACTAAGGTATTGTAAAAACTCCATGACTTATTCCCTTCCAGCTCCAACGACGCGTACGACAATCTAATTAGTAGGTAACGTGATATTAATCAGATAATTAGAGGGCCACCTAATACGACCCCTAAGCTAAAAGCGCTATTATACTTATACAAAGGTCTGCGTAGATGTACACGGTTAAGACCAGCCCGTGCTCAATAGCCTCCATTCATCCAACCCAGGAAAGCCTAATGACTTCACGCTTTTGTACTCCATCAAACCCTTATACGCAGGTGTCTGTTACTCCAACCCTCGATTTCTCTAATGCTATGCCATGTTCCAAAGGAAGCATAATATATAGGCGTGAAAACACGTTTCATACATCACCCACTTAAAAATGTACGCCAGCCCTGCTACACCCACGCCCCGAGTTTTAAGAAACCATTTTTATATCCCAAATCGGTTATCTCAAAAGCTGTTAGGTTAAATCCTGCCTCTATCAACCACTTGTCGGCCGAGAATTTCTATCTCGCCCGACTCTGCGGTTCGGCGTCGTTCCATTATCCATCTTGTTTCTCCACTATCTTCTTCCTTCGTGTATGAGATGCTGTCTGCACTTCCTCTATGCCTATGACCCATGCCTGGTCTTTTTTGGGAAGGTAGACCAATTGTTGGGCTCGTATTTTCACTAAGTGGTCTTGTCATCGTGCTTGACGCCGATAGACTCGGGCTTACAATGCCGGTCCTTCTTTCGTCGAGTGGGCTGGACTCCTCATCCTCAAAGACAGGTGGGCAAACTGATGAAGGTTGTAAGGGGGAAAACACTGGTAGGTTAGAAGGTGAGGTTGCGACAGTGGGGTTCGGATTAGAAGGCACCGTGAGAGGTGGAATGGAATTGCTAGGTATGCCAGACATGGACATAGTCAGCGTGGGGCTACCCGAGCCACTACCTGCTCCGGCAGAGTCCTGACTAAAGATAGAAAACGCAGAATTCTTGCGTCCGTGCGAAGCTGCGAGACCAAGGTCCTGACCCCATGGGCTAGTAGCGCCGTTTCTATCGTTAGGCGAGCCCTCACGCGAGCTTACGAGTGACGCTTGAGAGCCACCCCATGCTTTGGAGCGTAGACGAAGCAGTGCCGACAGTGACATGTTATCATCGTCTGCCATCATTGCGAGCTGAGCTAAGCCGGGACTTTGCAAAGGCCCATTAGGATTTGCGCTTTGGGGTATACCTAAGCTCATGATTGAGTTTCGATTCGAATACTCGGAGCGCTCTGTGATAGGTGTCAAGTTCGGTTCGCGCGAGACGATACGACCCGAGGTACTTCGATTGATACCGCTGGGACCAAAGTAACCCCCGTGAGAATACTGGTATAGGTTCTTCTCGCTAAGCGGGTTGGCATTATGATAGGTTTGCAGCTGTGCTGGTGCGGAGTAAAATCCAAACTCTTGTCCATACCAACCATCCGAATCGTTCGCAAGAGCGCTAGCATTTGCCTCAGCGATAATATCGTCGTCATCAAGTTCATAGTCGTCTAGTCCTGCGGATAGTCCATTGTCATATTCATAATCATCTAGGTTATCGGCGTGGGAGGACGCAGACGTCGTCGGAGACGTAACTGTTAGCTCAGCAGGCAGCGGGGGGGATGAATCTCTTCGAAACTTCCCGGAAGCTGCTGCTTGATGAGTTGCTAATGCCAGGGCCGCTTGGTAAGCTGCTATTTGGCCTTGATCTGTATCGTCTACATCAAAAACCGACGATTTCCGCTCTTCTACGAGTGGTTCTGTTTCTGCTTTGGGTTCAGATTCGGTCGGTTTAGACTGGAGGCCGGCACTGAGCGAAGTGTGAGCCGTTGATTCTGAATAATCGGATTGCGCTGACAATCTAGAGGTCATATCGGATTCTCGCTTCTTTGCTTCCTCGACAGCCTTTCTCTGCGAGAGCGTATTGGCGAACAATCCGGGAATTGGACGACCGTATTTATCAGTATCCTCAAGATCGAATATAGACTCATCAAACGCCGACCCATCTCCCTCCCCGTCAAAATCATGGATCAATCCGTCGTCAAAATATAGCTCGTCGTCCTTAGAGAGCTGTCGTGTTGTTCCTTCCTGTTGCTGCTTTTGAAATAATACTTGTTCAGGCATCTTGTTGACAGCTTCGAGCCCTTGGATGCCCAGTCCCGTCGGGGTATTTTCTTCTGATACCTGCCTTGCAGAAGTTTCATTTAAATCCTTGGTGGGAATATCTAAGGGCTGGGGGACATCTATCATCTCTTCAGTTATTGCATAGCCAATGATACTGCCATTTGCATCTCTAGGCGTAGGCAACATTCCAGTGCTACGGGGACTGGCTAATTCTGACACGGGATTGGATCTTTGAAAGGAGAAGCCCGCGAAATTTTCCTGGTCATTATCTGGGTCATCTGCACCGCCGAAGTCTTCTTCGTCCAAGTCCGCATTAACACCCGGTATACGTTCTTCGAGGCCATCGTCATAATCCATCGCGTCATAGTCAAATGCGTCTTCGTCAAAATCATCGAAGCGAGAATCCCTCTTTTCGAGGGGCTCGTCCGTTTTCTTGTCTTGCTGTCGCTGCCGGTGTCGTTCTTCTAGCAACTTCTCCTGCTTCGCAGCACCGATCATATCAAAACTAAACCGTGAAGACGTGCTTTTCATATGTCTGGGAATCGACGAAAGGACGTCTCGGCTAGAAGATTCTGATCCACTGCGAGATAATGACATCAATGACGGGGGGATCGAATTTGTTCTCCTCTGGCTATTTCGTCCATTTCTGGACTCGATATTGGAGCGGCTATTCACTGAACCCCGGTTTTTCAGTAAAGATGCGGTATCTACTGATACAGTCCGAGAATTTGTTGAGGATGATCGAGTAGACTGAGAATTTCCGTCCTTAGGAGGAACTGGAGGTGCCCCTATAACAGGTGAATTATATTCTAAAGTAGGTGACACAACATCCTGACGAGGCTGTTCGACTCCTGAACTAACTGGTTCATTATTCAGTACAACTTTCCTCGGTCGTGGAGCACTAAAATCATGGACTCGGGTGCCTCTAATCCGAGGATCGTATGAAGGTTCTTCATCTTGACCACGTAACGGCAATGCAAGGTCTGGTGCATTCTGACTGGTTTTTCTCCGCAGAAGCAACGTAGACATGGGGTTTTTCAAAAAAGGGAGGCTTTTCTTTCCTCTCGGGGCATCTTGGCCATGAGAGGCCTGAGAATCTGACACCATTCTAGCGCCCGGTGGCCGTTTACCTGTCGTATTTGCATTCTGGAGAGAGACAGGTGGGGTGAAGGAAGAAGCGGCCTTGACAGGCTTTACTGGCGGCACTGGGCGACTTGAAAAATTGGCCACGCCAGAATAAGTGGTAAACGACAGAGGAGGTTCCGGCGCGCGGGTTGTATTCCTATCTAACGAGTCTGGTCTCAGCGCCGCCTGCTCCCGACGGTAATTTTGCAAAGCTAGTCCGCCAATAAACCCGCTATCCCCATTATAAGATGACCGCGGTAAAGGCTTCGACTCTTCGCGTGGCTTATGTTCAAATTTTTCTAGGTCAATCGCTAGGTCTGACTCGGTTGAGGAAATGCCGGAAATTGGTGGCAAGGTTGGCGGCTGGCTATGCTGTAAGGGCGGCTGTTGGGACTGAGGTGGCGCCGGCTGCGAGGGAGGCTGCCCATGTCCATGGGCAAAAGGTACGGAGGTGGCGGATCGTGGTCGAATCTCAGGCGCTGGGACGCTATCGTCAGGGACCAGCTGGGCTGGTTGAAGGGCAGCAGCATCCCAAGGGCTGGTTTCGGGTATGGGAGATGAAGGATTGGACGGACCCCGTCTATGAAAGCGGAGATGTGAGAGCATTCCGACGGGTTGGATCTAATAAGTTAGATCTTGCAGACCAAACCCGAACATGACTCGGACGGGAATGGTGTTAGTTTCCTGGGAGAAAGATGAAATGCGTCGGCAAGGAAAGTTGTATTATACGCGACAGCTTTCGTAGTCTTAGGAAGATGGGTTGCTCGCTCGCTCGGAGTACTGTCGCATATGTAGGGAAAATGGATCGTCACAATATCGAGGATCGGCACGGTCTCTGAACATAAGGCAGTTACCGTGTTGTATATATACATTAACTCATTAACCAAAGATCACAGAGACGTGAGACGTCTTGTAAATAGACGTAATGTAATCCCAGGCTCTCTGAGTTGAGGTGTCGGATTGGGTTGAGAAAAAGCGTTGTTTAGTTTCTATGTCATTATTGGAGTTAAGCTTGTTTTTTTGAGTTTCCAAGTCGAGTTCAAGTCCTTTCATTTCTTTAATGACACCACCTTACAGGGCAGGTGCTTTCCCAATCTTGTCCTGCCGCGTCTGTCACAGCCCCACCGAGATTATTCCACCTTACAATTTACAGGGCTTAGAATATGGCACGTGCGCTCGGGACATTTCAACGGCCAACGCCAAAAACTTTAAACTGTTTCCATCCCGTCGGGTCTACCGCGGTACCATTCCGACCTATCCTATCATCGGAGTTTCCGTGTTGGTTTAACCAACCAGATCCAGTGTAAGTCGTGTATTGAAAAGAAAAGAAAACTATACCATTGACAACAACATAACTAGGTACCTAGGTTAGGTAGTTAATTCAGCTTTATTACTTTATGACTCGCTAAAACTCCCAACCTATATCATCAAAATTCTACCAAGCTCAAACGCAGAAACATGATTTAGTCATGACTTTATACTTCTTCCTATCCTTCCTATATACGGTAGGTTTCTCTTTTTATATACACCATTTCTTTTTAACATTCCTATTCTTGAGTCTTTCTTGCATCTTTTCCCGTATAATATATTACTTATTTTCTAAACGAGCAAGCATTATACCCATTCTTTGGGGTTCTTGAGAACTTCAAGAAGTCTCTGCTCTCGACTCCTCGGCTCCGGTTCGTACATGTAACGCCAGGACGCCGTTAATGGCAGACTCATTAGAATGCTTTCGACTCTTGATCCGGGAACATTCAAGCCAAAAGCTGTACCGCGGTCGTGGACCAAGTTGAATTCGACATACCTGCCTCTTCGCACCTGTTGCCACTCCTTCTCCTTTTCGGTAAAGGGCATATCTTTTCTTCTTTGGATAATTGGCAAGTAAGAAGGCAAGAAGCTCTTAAGGCAATCTTGAATGAATGCAAATGTGTTATCGGCGTCGGCCACGGTCTCATCCAGGTCGTCGAAAAAGATTCCACCTACACCCCTAGACTCGCCTCGATGCGTGTTAGAGAAGTACTCGTCGCACCATTTCTTAAACTTAGGGTAATATTCCTTGTTATGTTTGTCGCAGGCGTCTTTCATCGTCTTATGGAAATGCACCGCATCTTCATCAAACAGGTAGCTTGGTGTTAGATCACTTCCTCCGCCGAACCACCAGGCCTGTGGAGTTCCGTCCGGCAGCATCGTCTCGAAGTACCGATAGTTCAAGTGAACAGTCGGCGCCATCGGATTGTGAGGATGTAGTACCATACTTAAGCCGAGGGCGTAAAAGTCGACCTCATCTTGCTCTGCGAGATTTTTATGGTGGACCCTCATCTTCGAGATGGCGGGTTTCGGCAACGTCCCATAGACAACACTGATATTCACACCAGCTTTTTCGAATACGTTTCCTTCCTGTAGGACACAGGAGACGCCGCCGCCGCCTTTCTCTCTAGTCCACGTGTCCTCGCGGAAGCGCATGCCGTCTACCTTCTCAAGTTCGAAGACGATCTCCTTCTGCTGTTCGCGAATGAACTTCTCCATGCGCAAACGCATCGGAGAATTCTCGTCTACGCCCTTTTCGCGTTTCGTTCTTTCATCGAGTTCGGCGAGTGTGCGAGCGTCGAATTTGACTGGTTTCTGAGTCGCCTACGATGGAAGACAAATTGGTCAATTAGGCGATCTAGAGCCATGCAAAAGGATTCAATTGGACTAAATACCATCGTATAAGCTAGACCAGATAACGAAATAGTGGCAATAGCAACTCTATTAACCCAGCGGGACCTATTAGTCGTATCCGAAGCAGTTGTGAAGGTTCGTCGAGGAGGATGGCTAGCTCTTCCGAATTGTGGCCGTAATACGAACTGGCCCAATTGTCGCTTCGACATCGTGTGCTCCCTTGGGATTGAACGATTTTATAGGAAAGCAGTAGGTTGAGACGATCGTAAGTTTTGCTATCTGGTCGTAAGATTTAATTGGGACCTCGTCAACTCACTGCCTCAATAGCTCAATATCGCAAAGCTGCTAATAAGAACAATCAGCTGAAGAAGGCGACGCTACAAACGGGAATTAGCGGACACCAATTAGCGGACACCAATTAGCGGTGGTGTCCGCTGATAGCTTGTGTCTTGCTTGTGTGCCCCTCTCCAGCTTAGCTGCTTACGCTTACCTACATTAGGTAAGGTAAAGTCTGAGTAGTGCTGCGCTGACTATTCTTTGATTGCCTAACTACCTAGGTACCTAACCTATTATTCTAAAATAATCCTACAGAATACAACAATTTCTCCATCTCTTAATGATACGCATCCGTACTTAGGTCTGTATCTAACCTATTGTAGTTCCGCCATGCGTAACTTGGGAGCGTTCTGGAAAAGTCGGAACTTTAGGGTACGGCAATCTGAATCGCATCAGGTTCTCGTTCCTCCATCTGTAAGTCTTTAAAAGAAGTCCCCTCAAGAATTCCGGATGGATCCGGACTTCAGGTAGTTCTTGCAAATCTTCCACGTCCTCCTCGCTTGCCCACATATTGCAAGGATTCAGTGTTATGTTATCACCAAAATAGACATTTACGGCGAATGTCAGCACCACCCTTAGGCTTTGGGTTTCTTCGTCAATCCAATCTAACGCGATTGATAGTAGACGGTCCACGTTCTCGACTACGAAGCCCCTTAATAACAGGTAGATAGTTAGTTACTTTCCTAAGTTAGAATGGGCATATGAAATGACTACTTCCATGGTGTATGACGCTTTACCTTATTAAAACAAAAAAACAAAACAAAAATACCTCGGGGGGAACTTACGAACGAACTCTCACGATATAGACGGCGAAATGCAACATTGAGCTCCATCGCCCATCATACCTCTCGGCGGGAAGACACCACGTTCCGCTCACGGGATCCCGTTCCATCAGGACTCTGTCGCTGCCATTAAACGCAGCAACTTGGAGAATTAACTCAGTACATTGTGGAAAGTTCTCCCTTAAATAGGTCTGAACAGGCATGAGGAAGTACTGAAGCTCGGGGTGGATTAAAAAGTGCGAAGGTAGCCCATACTGGTTGGTCTGAAGTTGATCCATTATGAGGCGAATAATGTGGATTAAGACAAGATGTCAATCGATTCGCTATAATATACCTAATGCTGTTATTTGATTGTTTTGCTGAATTAAAAAGGGCTTGAGTCGCTTCTCTACCTAACTTCTAGGCTTTCTAGGTAACTTCTATATTAAAGAACTCCTTCCTCTCTATCTACCTACATAGTAGTAATCACCTCAGGTAGGTAACCCATTCCTAACTGACTTTGTCTATTATGTCATCTGAACTTGGCGAAGGTGCAATTACCTCGACAAACTAAACATGATGAGATGTGGCGTGTCGTCAACTTACGAGCACGAATACGATACGAAAAATGACCGAATTATACGAATAACTCGAGATACAACCTTGTGTACTCATCCACAGAAATACTCGGATGGAGAAGGTAGGCCGAGCTTGGTGAATGGGATATCTTACTCCTCCAGATATGTTGTTTTATAACATTATATAATGAGTGACCTGAAAAGTAACTTGAGATATTAAAAAAGATGAAATCTTATCCAAAATGAAATAAGACACTTTCCTTGTAGATTCAATCCTATAAAATTGCAATGCAACCATATCCCATAACTTATAATAATTTACAGCATTAAGATAAAATCCTGTTCTCTTGCTTAGAATAAGCGGCTCTTTTATCCTTGGTAGAAGCTACCTACCTAACATACCCAATGTATTTACATGTTTGCCTCGATATTGAGCTGTTGTATTTTCATTTTCAAATAAATTTGTACGTGATTGATTGTGTTTAGCTCTATATTCGACTCTATCACGATGAACGCTCCGATATCTACTTTTGTCCGTGTGGCTTTTTGGCCGGTTTTTGTTCTCCTGAATGGTCATATAGCCGAATCTCGTCACCTTACGTCCTCTCTCGTTACCTGCATTGTAGAAGTTACAATTTCGGCTGCGGGGGCCTCATTATCTAGTATCCGGATCGACGAGGATAACAAGCCTCGACCACAAGCCACAAGGCTATTCAATTTTTCCATTCTTCTAGGTGCAATATGCCTTGCTCTAGGAATGTTACTCACCATCACACGGCCAACCAAGTCGTGTATACTCTTCGATAGTAATGTGGCCAAGGCAATGGGAGTACTTTTGGGTCTGCAGGTATCATTCTTGTTAGCCTGTGCGGCTGCTTTACGACCTGTATCAACAGATATATGGTTTTGGAGATTTACTATCGGGACGGTCGGCTTCCTCTGTGTATATTTACTCCTAGGTTGGTGTGTCCATGGAATACACTATTATAGATGAACTGGTCGAATCAAAGGTAGAGCCAGTCCAGTTTGAAGACAATGGGATTCCAGAACTCATTATCCCCATCTCTACACCGTATTCTACACCAGCTGCCCCCCTTATCTGGTCAGAAGCCTCTTCGTCTCCACCCAAAGAACCAATAGTAGAAAATCTCCTCCCTAGTCATTAGCAACGCATGATTCTGGATGGCTACTTGCTCAGCATAACCGATTATACCTCGACAGGATTTGTGGGTCACCAGAGACGTCATAGTGATGGGGTGTGATTATTATGAGCCCTGGATGGAAGAAGCACTATGCCGCTCATAAAGATGTATGAGATAGCACTAAAAAACCCCGAAGGGAATATGCTCATCAAAATATATGAATTACACCGTTTCCTATTGATAATGTCTCACCAACGAACAGCAAAACCGAAATATCATAAGCGTCTACATTCCCAGCACATGTGAATTCCAAATTATTCTCGCCTTTGATTATCTCTTCCCGTTCTCCGAGAGCAAGACGGACAAGGGGTATCACTATACTATACTAAGTCAATCTTGGGCACCCTATGCATCCTAATATAGAATATCTGGACTAGGACGCCATACAACCCACGCCCAGTGTAATATATTTTTATTCCTAGCCAATAACAACACTTTCTTGGAAGCTTTAAGACCATTCGGAGTTAATTGATCCCTCGGCCAAATTTTATTTTGACATTTCTCTTCGGCAGTTATATAAAGACCAAGGAAGGGCATTTATCCAAAAAGCAAGTAACTTTACCCGGTGGCCATGCCACAATAACATCAAAAATAAATGTTTCCCAGCTTGGCCAGCAGGTTTCCAGATATATAATGTTTTTGTTGTTCCCTGTCCTGTTCTATTCTCGACGTTCCTTCTGATCTACAGCTCAGCACAACCTTACCTTGTGTAGATCACACTTAGCCTACTTAGGTACTCTTCTGTCAACATGCAGTGGAAGACTCTTTTCTTAGCTGTTGCGGTAAGTCCGCTACAGGTTTCTGCCCAGTATGCTCAAGCTGCTATGATGCGCTTCCAGTGCTCTAGGTAAGTTCTTCCAAACGTAAAACACGAGACAGGGAAAGCAAATTCTAAGACCGAAGGCAGACTAGTCGTTGAGCGAGTAGACCCCCTTGTATCCCCAGGTCTCATCCAGTCGCCCCATATTCACCAGATCGTTGGTGGAGACTCGTTCAACGCTACAATGGCCCCAACCGACTACGATCTCCCGTCCGAATCGACCTGCACAACTTGTTCGTTCAGCGAAGACTTTTCTAACTACTGGACCGCGAACTTGTACTTCAAGGCCCGCAACGGCACCTACAAGCGAGTGAAGCAGATGGTCAACCTTGTCAGTGTAATAATATACTCAGCAGTGAACTTGCCTAACATTTATGTCATAGGGCCTACAAGGCGAGGAGGGTATGACTGTCTACTACATTCCGCCATATGACGGCCAGTCCAAGGTCACGGCGTTCAAACCGGTATGCTAGCCAAAACATCACATTATTCGGATATCGACTAATTAAAATATAGGGTTTCCGTATGCTTGTCGGTGAAGCTATGTTAAGGACAGCTCAAGGCCAACAGAAGCAGCTATGTCACCGCTGCTACACCAACGTTGACCAGAGTCCTTTCGGAGGTGCCCCTTGTGCGGACAGCCAGATGGATACTTCGGCACTCCCGAACAAGGTATGTGGCGCTTGAGGCTTCCCCCTTTCTAATCATATTTAGGAGCCATAATTTCGTATGGCTAATTGAGGGACCGTTACTAATTATAATAGAAATGTGATGGGGGTATCCGTGCGACCATTACTTTCCCAACGTAAGTTCTGGCCCGCCACAAGCTCCCTCGTTACTCATACCCATATCCTTCCCCTCAGTCCCCAGAGATAAGTTAGAAACAAACGACTAATACAATCTTTCCAGTTGCTGGGACGGCAAGAACCTCGACAGCCCAGACCACAAGAGCCACGTAGCGTACCCCTCGAGCGGCAGTTTCGAGATGTCCAGCGCGTGCCCTTCCACACACCCCGTAAAACTTCCCCAGGTCATGTACGAGGTGATGTGGGACACGCGGGAATTCAACGACCCCTCGATCTGGCCCGAGGACGGTTCCCAGCCCTTCGTCTACAGCATGAACGACTCGACCGGCTACGGCTGGCACGGCGACTACATGTTCGGCTGGAAGGGAGATACCCTGCAGCGCGCCCTCGACGCCCGCTGCTCCAACGACAAGTGCTCGCAGCTCAAGACCCAGACCCCGGCCCAGGCCACCGCCTGCAAGAAGCCGCAGACTATTAGCGAGGATGTCGACGGATGTAAGTGCTGGAATACCCCCTATCAAATTATAGTGATTACTAACCTAGTGTTCTTTTTTAGGGCTCACCGAGCTTCCGAGCGTGACGATGTAAGATACTAATCTCTAGGTTAGCTATGATCATTATAGATACCCCCTGGTTCCGAAATTGGATACGCCGGTCGGGGTTCAAGACAGCTTGGATACCCATTAGACATCCATCTTAGGGAGTAAATAGATATTTCCTTTAAATAGACTATCATTTGAACCCATGGGCAATCCATTTCGAAACTAATAGAAATATAAAAAGTGAAAGCGAGATAAATATTACGTAATTCATACATAAAGTTTCGTTTCCATGATCATCATTCCCCGCCCTGACTTATACAGATTATAATATTTTACCATAATCGTCATCAACCATAACCTTCAGGATTTTGCGAAATCCAAAACGCCACGGGCATGACTACTTAAACCTAGCCACCCGTCATATTTGCCGATTAATATCAAATCTGACCCCTGTGTACAGATGATTGTCGTTATAATATCCGTCGTATACTCTAGTTTGTAACAAAAGGAATCCGATAAAACGATTATTCCGGCATAACATCCACGAAGCTCTCTTCGACGTTCATATCATCCTGGCTGCTAGTAATCTGGGTGGGTTCCTCTCCTCCCCAGTCAAGAAGTCTTCCGCAAACAATCCGCAAATTCCGTCCCACGCGGACTTCAGCTAAGACGCTCCTTTCGGCGGTTTTGAAATCTGTAATGTTGAGGACCTGTGGCTTGGGTATCTTGAGACGGAGGCGAAGTTTATCCACGGCTTGCATAAGCCACAGAAGGGTAGGGTCAGTCTTGTCCGGGAGAATTGCGTATCCGGCACCAAGGTGGGAGTTGACGGCCAGAACGCTGTTCATTTCGATTACAGGAAGAACAGACTGGTTAACCATGTGCTTCGTCTCGATAATGAGAATATCTGGTTGCCGCTGCCAGTGGCTCTGAGACCACTTCGGGGCCCAAAACATGCCCTCCAAGCTGCCGCTTCTTTCGAGGGGGAAACTCAAGATATCCTCCCTCTCTTGAAGGCTGATCAGAAGAGCTTGTACGCCGGTAGCGTTCTCCTTTGCCTTCTTCTTCCAGGCTTGGACGTGGTTCCCGATATCCTCTAGCTTGGCAAGACATTCGGGAAAGGCTCTAAGAAGTTCCTCGTGGATAGCTCTGACGGTCTTCTTCTCAATAGCGCCAGCTTCTATAAAGTGGCGTTGATCTTCAGTGAGTTTCCGGTGTTGGACGTGCTCACTCGGGTCGCTAGATGGAGGATGATTATGCTCAGGGACACTAACAGCGAAGTAGCAACCATCTTCGCGAACATTGATATGACAAGAGAAAGGGCAGTTGGTTTTCTTGGTTGTGGTTTTCTTAAGTCCGATAGTGGCCTTAGATTGGAAACTTCCCGACTTATCACATCGAATCAAGTATCTGATATACTTGCCAGTACGCTTGGACTTGGCTTTTGCATGCATGACGATAGCGTAGCCTTCTTTTGCGGCGTGGTTTTGCACTGCCCTTTCGCAGTCTTCTATGGTAGGGAAGATGCCCTCTGCAGGAGGAGCTAAAGGCATCTTCGTTAGTATTATTTTGGGCTATTATGAATTAATTGAAAGGAATCATTAGTGAAGAGAAAATCGGGCTGATAAAAGCATGGAATAGTGGTTGATAACAAGGGGCAGGGGCAGCTGTAGAGAGAAGTTAAGGAAGATCTAATTGGGCTGGGATTTAGGACATTTCATGATCGAAGCCCCATTATCGGAATTTTAATGATCCGGTGGCGTACCTTAGGTACCAGGGTGGGGTTCCGCTCTTTGGGGGTACAAGGTACTTACCTATGTAGAAGCGACGCCGATCGGTGTTCCGATCTGTCTTCCGTCCTTCTCGACATTTATTTACCCCTGAATCAATCCATACAACTTGCCTCTATCATCCCCTAACCCCTTTCTAGCAGTGTGCACTCAGGTTGTCAGAATTATAACTTATTACAACCTAAATTTAAAATAAATAAATAAATACAGATGTAGTCACACACAATTTACCCCCGGTTTCCATATGGCTACATGAACGATTCATCACGTCTCAAAAACCTCGTCTTTCAGGGGTACTCCCTTAGAATCCTTACGCAACGATGATAGAGGTTTCTCAGCCTTCCTAGACCACTCCGCATCCGTTTGCACATGACGTTTGAGTAAATCAGCAGCACGCCTACCCATCTCGAAGACAGCCCGTCGGCTCACTGTAAAGTCGGTCCAGAATAGATACTCGTTAGGTGAACCACACACACTCCCTCCGTCATTAGTACCATCCTTTGTGTTTCCGTTTCTATCCCCAGAGAGGTTGTCTCTCTTAATGCATGGTTCCCATATCTCAGAATACCCATTAGCCACGGCTGCCGAGCCAAGCCCATTATGATCCACGATTCCAGCACTCCGTAGTTGGCGCTCGACAATGAGTTCCCGGAGGTAACCAGATATGTCATAAGTAATAGCTTCGCGGCGCGCGGATGGTACGGGGAGCTTTTCTGCCTTTGAGGCTCTCCTGCTAAGTAGAAGGTCGGCGTCCTTGATCTCGGACAAGTAATCCTCGTCCCCAACTTCCTCCTTTTCTGGAAGGCCCTCCCATTCGTGTAGCATATCCTGAAACACCTTGTCCCAGTGGCCCGCCAAGAACGCTGCATTCCGCATCTGCTCAGCTCTAGTATGAGGTGGCGGAGGTGTAAGGCGAGCACTAACAAACCCCGGCGTTAAGGAGATGTCGAACAGTCTTGGTATAAATACGCGAAACGGGGGTCGAACCGGGGTAGTCTTGGCGGTATCTATGTAAGTATTTGAGAACGCAACCGAGTCGTTCTTGTGCGCTTCCTCATAAAGAAGTTCTATGTACGAGAAAACTTGTTGTGCCTGTGTCTCAATAATATGCGTAGCAAGTTTACGCGGCAATGCTGCTAAGTACCATATGTCCCAAAATCCGATATTAAAGACCCATAAGGTGTCTCGAGGCGGATACCGAGGTCGAGGACCAGCGAGGAAATCCTCTACTTGATTGAGTAAGTCTTGATGGTATGGGACCGGATAACTATGGGGTAACCACGAGTAGTCAAGTCCAGAGAGTGTGTTGTTATCCGCTGATAATGTGCGAGCCAGTGCAGCTTCGAATAATGAGTTTGATACGATCGATCCGCCGTCGTGGTCAGTGAGTGGCATGAAAGATAGGTAGGTGTTGCAATTGAGCTAAAAAGTGAAAAGTCAGCATAATTGCTATCAAAGTGAACCGATTTCTTGATTTTCAACTTGCTTGAAGGCAGAGAATATCCGTCCACGCTACGTTGGGCCCGCCTAGTTGCCACGATGCTCGACTTGGAGTAGCAATATCGCCTCCTCCAAAAACCACTATCCTCAGTCCTCCGCCAAAATTCCTTTCTTCAGGTTTATCTTCCTTCCATTTTAGGACCCTAGTGTAGTCGGAGTTTAAGGCATGGCTGGCAAAATGTGATGACCACAGATACGACCCAAAGAGTAGTAGAGTAACCCCAACGGCCATCTGTGGGAAAAGTCTCGAGCCGCCACGGAGCATTTTTGTCGTCCCTATAGTTACTATGGCCTTCAATTTTAACAATTCAAATATGTTATCCGTAACATACGGCTTTTCTAGTATGTACTTCATTGCTGTGCCTGTATATCAATTTGCTTTGATAAAATAGTATATAACTGGCTATTCCCTAGCAGCTAGTGTCGATCGATCGTTTTCGGAACGGGTTCGAAACTTATCAAAATAAGCAGTGTTTAGTATGTGTAGTATAATAAATATAGAAGTATGTATGATAGGATAGGTCGTCCATAAGCAAATTAGATTATAATACAAGGTATCATTAGATAATTCCAGAACTACGATGGCTATGATAGAGGATAGTTGTACAGGAAGGTCGGATTGACCTCTAGAAGGAATGAATAATAATAGGTAACCCCCGCTACACTCACGTAACTAGGTGTATTGTACCTAATCTAGTCGTAAGGCGTACTACGTGTCGTTTAACCCTCCGGCAGTTTCAAAATCGGTATACGGGCTAAGCTAAGAAGGGGGGCATGTCTTTTCAAGTTACGGTGCCGGGCACTAGCTTTGTATTAAGACATTAGCAAAACCTTGAGATATTTGAATCTATCAGTTGCTTGACTAGATTATCTAAGAGTATGGGTTTAAAAAATGCATGAGAGGACGAATAAGGAAAATTGACCGGTGATAAGGTGTCAAGCATTTAAGTCTCATATTATCCTTCCCAGGAGACCTTTGGGAGTTGTAGCTTTGGTTACAAGGACTATAACGCCGCTCGTCAAGACCATTACACCATTGAATATAGATACTTCAGAGTATCCTTCATATTTAATAACGAATGCTCCATTTACTGGGGGACCTATCAAGGCTGAAATAGGGCTGAGGCTCATACCCATGCCTAGGTACGTGTCTATCTCTCGGGGGTCTTTTGGGGACTTCCGTAAACGCTGCTGATGCCCCTGGAATGACGGTTCCGGTGCTATACCACCAACGCTGCTGTTGATTCCGTTTTGTTCTAGCAGAATATAACAATGCTAGTAATAACCACCCCTAATGCGAACATATCCAGCCGTCTGAATTTATCTACCAGTATATCCGGAATAACTCGACCAAATGTAGAAGCAGCATTTGTGATGGCGAGAAGGCAAGATGCGAGTGTTGGATCCATACCTCAAGACCGCGTACGTTGGGATGTAGAATAACCGTGAGACTTTGTTAGCTTCAATCATGCTACTGTGGAAAACTAAATACCATATTCACGAGTCAGAGATGCGGCAGGATTTACCAAATATAAATACAATTTACTAGTTTAGGGCTTTTTAATTTTCTATTCTGGTTCTACAGACGATTTATGGCTTCTCCATCGGGGATAAAATAAAAGCGGCATGAAATCGGAATCGGAGATCGGACTCGGCAAATTCGTAGATTGAAAAAAGTTGAAGATGAACGATAACGCTTGAGTAAGTGAAGTAAACTAAGATCACCTTATTCATAATCAAGCCTATCAACTTATCCACCTTCATGTTTTCTATACTGGTCGAGAGAAATACACCGGGACTTTATAAGTGGTGATTATGGCCGAGACCGAACGCCGGCGGAGACGACCACCAATGTATGTTCAATTAGAAGTCTCCGAACCGAAACTTGGCGCTGACAACAGCGCGACGCCTCATCGCGTACAGCTCGTGTGTTCTCTGTAGAAGACGCAAGATACGATGTAACCGAGAGAGCCCATGCAGTAATTGTATGCGCTCCAAAAATGCAAATTGCACCTATGAGAATCATTTTTCGCAACCTCGGCAGGCGACTGAGCTTCACAGCTCAATCTCACCCCTCGCAGTGGTAACAGCTTCGAGTCTTATACCTAAGTCATCCCCTAGGACGGTTAGTACGACAACTGCATCAACTACCGCTAGCTACCAATCCTCCCAAGATATTGAATTCTTGAAAAATAAGATTAAGCAACTTGAAGAGAGGTTATCGCAATCAAATCAGACTTCCCAGTCTCCTATACAAACACCAGGTTCTAATATAGAGGCCATCTCATCGCGTATTGGCGGCACATTCTATGTTCATCATGAAGATCCCTTGGCTGGCCAGCCCCAGAACATATCCCGCAGTGTTACGCATAAGAGCCGAATGTTCGGTCAGAGTCATTGGATTACCGGAATGGCCTTGGTATGTTTTCGTGTTATTTACACTGTTTGACTGTTTGATCAATACGAGGGTTGACAGTAATTAGGTACGAGACATATTAGACTTGATCGAACCTCATGTGCATGAAGACACATGTAAGATCACGACTCTTATGATGAAATCTAAGTCTCTAGCAAGAACTATTAAATCACAGCGGACCCCACGTTGGCCCTCGCCATTAAAAACGGATCTACCCTCGAAGGATATTGCCGACGAGCTTGTCGACCGTTATTTCCAGACAACTGAGACTGTATATCGAATACTTCACATCCCCAGTTTCAAGAGAGAATATGAAGCTCACTGGAAATCACAAGCTGAACCTAATACGGCGTTCCTAGTTCAATTGAAATTAGTACTAGCAATCGGAGCTACCACTTACGATGACAAATTCACTTTGCGAACATCCGCTATGCAATGGGTTTACGAAGCCCAAACTTGGGTTTCCGAGCACGGATTCAAGCATAGACTAAACATTCAATTTCTGCAGAACAATATTCTTCTTTTACTAGCTCGAGAATTCGTTGATGTTGGTCCGGACTTGGTATGGATTTCGGCTGGTACGCCCGTCAGGATTGCAGTGTACATGGGCTTGCATAAAGACCCTACACGCCTCCCCAAGGTATCGACCTTCACTGCAGAGATGCGTAGGAGGCTATGGAACACGATACTGGAAATTTCTCTGCAGTTGAGTTTGATTTCAGGGGGCCCACCATTCATCTCTATGGACATGTTTAACACCGAGCCCCCCGGAAACTTCGATGACGAGCAACTCGCGGTCGAGGATCCTCCACCAAAACCAGAGAGCCATTTTACTCAAACATCTATGGCTATAATCCTTCGGAAGACATTTCCAGCTCGCCTTGCTATCGTGAAATTCTTAAACAACCACGGTTCTTCCGGTACATACAAGGAGACGCTGCAATTAGATGCAGAATTAAGGACATCCTACAAGGCCGTACTTCGAACTCTCCAAGGATACATGTCAACCACAGGATCGCAGCCCTCGGAATTCGCGATGGACGTAGTGAGCCTCTTGATGAACCGCTACTGCTTATCCCTCCATATTCCGTTCTTCGCCCCCGCAATGGATGAGGCTGCCTACGCATTTTCTAGAAAAGTAGTGGTCGAAGTTTCGCTCAAGATTTGGCGTGGGATATTTCCTTCGCCACTTACCCCAACCTCTCAATCATGCCATGGCATAGTTCCGCCAAGTCAGCACTATTTAGCTCGACTTGTAGTCTGTGCTTCGGGATTTTTCCGGATCAGTCCCCTACAGGCGAGCGTTCTCATAGCGTCTGAGCTTATGGGCCAATTACGAGAGGAAGAAACTTTGGGGCCCGGACTGGTACGGCAAGACCTTCTGTCTGTTGTGAACGAGGCAAAAACCTGGGCCTGGAAGTGCATTGAGGCTGGCGAGACCAGCGTTAAAGGCTACTTTCTCGCAAGCCTCCACGCCGCACAGATCGAGGGGCTCGTGCAAGGGCTCGAAAGAGAGGAGCTTTCGAGATTTGTAGTCAAGGAAGGGGAGAAAGCCGAAGAAATGTGTTTCCCATTGCTTGAAGAAATGCTTTCTAGCAGAAAACCTGAGGGCTCTACTGGAGCACCTGAGCAAACTACGCCGTCTCAAATGGTAGAAGGTTGGGATCTGACTGTAAGTAAATAACCGCTAACACATCTACTTTTGCCACTAAACGCCACCGCTAGATGTCAGATGCCCTATTCGATTTTGGGGAGACGGAACTCATAAATTGGGGCTTCGATGAAAGCTACCAAGGACTGTCCTTCAATTGAAAGCTACCTCTATTGTTCGTGACCGCAAGCGAAACTTCGGCCTTATAACGTTAGCAAATAGGAGGCAACGGCTTCTGTCCATACATTCCATTCGCATGCGTGGTGCTGCAGTGTTGATTCCTGGGCACCGAAATTCACAGTACGTTTGACTCATCGGCTCGAGAGATTTATCCAACGAGATCGGCGCTGACACATCTTCTAGGGTGTTTAAAAAGCGTTCGAGTACGCCCGTCACCGCTATAGCCCGTTACTAGGTCTACGAGCCGTAGGATATGATAAACCAAAATAACTGTATTAGGTACCTAACGTAGGGGAAACAGGTCAGAGCTATGTTCTACTTTTAACTTTAACTAGCATTTATTAGATCAAGGCGCTCGATGACCAGATATATAGTAGCCACCGATCATGAGAGATATTTGTACCATAGCGATAATAGCCACAGGCTAGACTCTTCTTCCTGTAATATGAGTTAGATGTCGAAGTAATATTAAATTCAGCATTGATTAGTCAAAGGGCCAAGGGGCAATAAAGGTGACCTTTTGATGCACTATAAAACTATGAACCTCTGCACAAACCGTCATACTATAGGTAGACTTTGGCACTATATGATTGAGCGTCTTTGACACCTAACTTTAATAAAATGTTGGGAGCTCCATAAGACCTTATATATATATAGTCTATAGGGGTAAGGAGAAAGTTCTTTCGACTATAAAATCTCGGTTTTAGCCACCACGCCACGTCACCTCATTATATATAATATATATATATCTACCTTCATATTACTTTACATTGGTAGGTAGCTACCTACAACTCCTCTAAATCCCAAGAGCAAAGGACAGCGTTGTCTTATCCCTCCCCCTACCACACACAATGCGCGTCTCAAGAATGCTCGCGACAGCCCTCCTACTCGCCGCCGGCGGCCTCTCAAGCCCCGTACAGCCCCTAGGCAGCAGCGTCTTAGACATAAGCGACCTGGCAGACGGCGCATATGCAGACGTAGCCCCGGACGAGTTTCCCGTTGGTCCTAAGTCTGTCCATCGACGTGACTGGCCGCCGAATGATCCTATTGACCATAACAGTTACTGCAGGAGAGACACCTTGCCCGGGACGAACCTGACAAAGGAAGAGAAGAAGCCCATGCTGGAATGCTTCGAAAAGATGGAAAAGAAAGGCGACTGGGTGACCGACTGGACCCACTGCAATCATACCCAGCGCTACTTCACCGCTTGGGGCCTCTGGTGGAAAAACCCGGAGGATTGCTATCACGCTGTAAGTCGACATTGGGAGTTTAACCCTTCCTCTTCCCTCCCCTCCCCCCTCGTCTCCTTTTGGCTTGTCTCTGCGGGCAATGTTTCCCAGTCGTGAGCACGAGAGTTACTGCCCTGTGACTCGCCTTATACACCAACAGAAGAAGTGATTGATTATTGACTCCTTGCTATAGTGCAAGAGGTGCTTCATGGGCGCTATCCTCAGCGGCGCCTCAAACTGGTACTGCTTCCAGGCCGCCGGGTTCATGGCTCAATGCAACATCAGGTACATGCAGTGAAGGAGTTAGGATTATACATGGAGAAATTTGGAGTAAAGGATGTTCTTAGCACGCATATTTGCTAGTGTCTACGATCTAGGGTTAGAGTGTTTTGCGGAATACTGAGGCTGTGTTTATGTCTTTTAGGCCTACCTCATGATGACTTCTGCGTATGGATTGGAGTGAAAGCACTGGGACTAGGTTAGGTAGTTTCGCATCTTTCGGAGTATAAGAGTAAATTCAAATACATTTCCACCAACATATAGTGTAGAAAACAGTAAATGTACCATATATTTACACTTGACGTTATTCACCATGGGGCAAGAATTAAGATAAATCATTACGAGGCCTCAGACAAGCTTGGGTAGGCCTACGGAGAGGTTAAAAGTCACAGCAATTTAGTATTACCAGGTTTGGTTTGGTTGTGCCCTCATTTTATTGAGTTCTGATTCTCTTAGCATAGTGCAACGGCAATAGTTACAGTAACTTGCAGCTAACCGGGCTCCTCAATGCATAGGTCTTATTCCACCTCAACTCAACGTCAACTCAACGTCAACTCAACTACGACCAACCCAGCCAGCCTGGCAATAATGCTCAAATCCGGCGACAGAACCTCCAAAATGGGTTAGGGTTCAGAGGGAATTATAATCTTACATTACAAATTTTCTCTCTTAAAAACTCTGCTACTGTCGGGTATACCCCCTCTCAGTAACAGGCTCAGGATCACCGAGCAAAGCAAGCAAGCCAAGCTACTCAAGGATCACAAGACGTTAGTCATACTTCCGAGAATATGCGGAGGCTAACGTGTCTTGAATAGTCGGAGTATTCATCCTTCTATTCCTCTTCCGAGTCGCTTTCCTCCTCACTTGACTCCATGGGTCTACTGTCATCAACTTCGCCAGGAAGAGGTTCTTGACTTCCACTACCGTGGCGCTGAAGTTGAGCTTTGAGCTCACGGAGTTGCTCAATCTTACGTTCCTGCTCATGCTTGTTCATCGGCTTGTTCTTCTTGGCTTTAGGAGGCGGCGCACTGGGCTTCGATTTGGGTTCCACCTCAATCGGGCGGCTAAATTCTGGCTTTTTCTCAAGCGCAGTGCGAATGTTTGCATTGGTCCTGTTGATCAGGTCATAGAGTCTTCGGAGGGCTTCGTCGGACAAGGCATCTATGTCTAGTTCCATCTCACCGTCATCATTCTCCTATAACAATTGTCAATACTGATATCAAACAAAACAAAACAGCGGCCAACACAATATAAAAGGGGAAAGATGAGTAGAGATCCAGACGCTTACATTCTGACCGGTATCCTTCTTGATTATGTCAACGGCCTTTGTCAGGGTTGTACCGTCAAGCTCGTTGATTCCCTCAGCGATAACAGCCTTCTCTAGCGCACCAACTGGCCGGTTCTTAGGAGCCGCCTTTTTATGACTGGTATGATTGCTGGGCGTCTTTTTGGTGGTATTGACATTTCCAGACGCTGCCTTTTTGTGACCTGTGGCTGCCAAACCACCACCCGCAGACTTTGGCTTGCTCTTGGTGCTCTTCTTCTTTGGCTTCGGTTTCTTTTCCTCATTATGGAACTTGGTTCTCTCCTCTACCAATTTTCGTTGGAGCATCGAAACCATCGACTGCTGAATCTCAATCATTGTAAGGTCCGGTTTCTTTGATCCAAGAAGAGTGTTCAACTTGTCTTGCTCCTCATCTAAGCGAGCCTGGAGGTTACGAACCGCTTCGCTGTTTTGTTCATCCTCGCCGTCTGCTTCGCTCTCGTCTTCAGAGTCGTGAGCGCTTCTCTCTGGGCTACGAGCAGATGCATTTGCCGCAGATGGCAACTCGGGAGGATAATGACGCTTCATCCATTGATCTCGTTTCGAGATTTCGGACTTGAACAGCTCCTCTAAGCGTCTTGCAAGCATGGTAACATCGTGGTGTTGACCATTGAACAGCTCGGAATTGTGGACAATCAATTTCATGTCCTTCTCCAAATCCTTCACCGTCTTGTAGTCGCCATCGTAGTTTTTCTGTGTCATGGTGGTGAGGTCCATTGGCTTCTTAACAATGCTAAAGTACGTCGGGATATTCAAAGCTACTGGGTCCACTGGAGTGAGAAACCACTGATTCAACGAGTAATGCTTCCCCTTCTTGATCTCGTCCAAAACGACTTCGAAAAAACGCTGCTCGGGTTCCAGCTTCTTGCGGCTGGCTGAACCATAGTCAAGATCGCGGTTCTTTGGAGGATGTATCGGACGCTTGGGTCTGTCGCTATCTTCTCGTGTAGAATCGCGACGGATTTGGGGGATACCATTCGGGGGGATCGCAAAGGCTGGCGCTGAAGACGAAGCAGATGCTGGCTGCGCAGTTTGTACAATCTGTGTGGGGGTCGACTTCGGCTTAGGACTCGCAGCAGATGGGCGTGATGGCTGTGATTGCGATTGTCGCCGAGGCTGGGTCGCTGCACGAGGTTCTGGATGCCGGGTTGCATGATTCTTGCCCTTCTCAAGTTTGGTAGGTTCTTCTAATTTGGAAATATCTGGTAGGCGTCCAAGTATCTGATCTCTCACTGCACCTGCGGCTAGGGTAATGGGATTATTCTCGCCATTGAACGTGAGAGAATTCTCGTACAGTAGTTGGATATCGGCCTTCAATGCGCCATAATTAGCGTACTTGTCTTCGCGGAGCTTTGCCTCGAACAGAGAAATATCCACTGGATTCTCGATCTTGGACTTGTAGTCATCCCATAAAACTGGCCACAATCGTTCTACGGGCTGTCTAAAATTAAGGCCGTTTTTGGTCTTCTTGACACCGGCCAAGACTTGCCTTATCTGCCTATTCTGGAAAGGGGTGATGACTTGGCCATCTTGGTCCCGATCAACACTCTTTTTCGGCTGGGACGTGGGAGGTGGCCCACTTGCGACAACTAACGAGTCAGCCACAGGATCATTCGGATCTTCTTCTGTTCTCGCACGCTTTGCCGCTCGCTCGTCGTCGGCATCTTCGTCACGCTCTCGGGGGATTTTGGCTGCGGGCATAGGCTGGTCGGTCATAGGCGTGTCGGGCTGAGAGGCAGTAGTGTCAGGTTGAGTACCCTTGATGTCTAATTTGGCAAGACTTGCCGATGGCTGACTCAAATCCTGAGATGACGTAGGCGCCGGCGTATTATTAGAAGACTTGTCTTCAGTGCCAGTTGTGGGTTTGGCGTTCGATTCTTCGTCGACATGTGGTTCTGAGGTATCTACATCCATTGAATCTGCAGGTTTCTCGGGTACTTCTTCTTTCGGTACCGAATCTCGAGTGGCAGAATTCTGCTCCGTCTTGTCAATATCCTCGGATGTCGAATTGGGGATGGCTTCAGCATTGGCTTCCGCTGTTAAAGACAAGTCCTTCACGGCCGAAGCGCCATTCACATCGGGCATATCGGTGTCATCGGTGGACGGAGGGTCGGAGTGCGATTCAATCGGTGTTTGTTGGGAAAGACTGCTGTTTGCAGCAAAGGCCTTTTCATTTAGCGACTTGTCTGCGCTGGTAGCTACCGAATCTGCCGATTCGGTATTACCATTAACAGCAGGTTTGTCATCGGACTTAGACTCGTCTTGGCCAGATTGAGAATGCCTGTTTAAAGTACCATTTAGCATCTTGATATAATGAACACGTAATTGTACTCACCCATTGACTGCTCCCGCATCCGACTCATTGATCGCGATTTCTTCATCCGGTGAAGAACTAGCGACTTTCTTATCCACCGGTAAGGTCTGAGGTTGCTCGGTCGCCATAATTGCCATCCAGCTACCGAGGGAAGTCGAAATGGAACTGGTTTAACGTGACGTCGATATTGTGAAGCCGGATACCCGAATTTCTCGCATGAATCTAAGGATTGGGTCTAATAAAAACTCATGGTCAGATATGAATATTTAGACATGGCTTGCATGATGCGGCTCGAGAAATGGTAAACAAAGACGCAATGCTGCGATTCTCCCATAAAAGGGGTATTAACCGAGAGGTCAAAGTGATGCGATTGCAAATACCTGGGTAAGTAGCGTAAAAGCCGGGTTGAACTTGCCTTTTAGTTTTGGGGGCGAAAAGGTTTCTGGGTAATTACGACTGCGGCTTCTAGTTAGTAACGAAGGTGATTAAAAATGACGATTAGGCGCAATAACAGGCAAGTGCAAGGCTGCAATTTCAAATGCAAGGGATATGTAGAAATAAGAGTAAAAGAAAATAATAGTATGAGGTAGTGCTATTAATTTTGGGCGCCAGAGAACATTGGCGATATCATGATCAATGTTTGCTTTGCGCCGCGATGCGCTACGCGGCCTTGCGACATGCGACAGTTGTGTAGTTGTATATGTGGGAGGGCCAGTTGCAAGGTGGCTGGCCAATGAAAACGGGGCTGGGGAAGATTGGGGAATTTTCTAGGTGCAAGGATGAGGTGTAAGTGTTATCGGGATGATACGCCTTATATCCAGACTTATTGAAATCTGCGCATCTTCTCATCGGTATCAGGCTGTGAAACCAACTAAATTATGGACGCGCAAGTGATCGGTGTGGTCAGAGCGCGTCAACAGCCAATGGTATTAACAGTGGCTCTTTCCTAAGCACTGAGAAGATTTCTATTAAAAGTCCAGGATCGCGCTCTTGGACTCCTCTGGATCCAATATTGGTAGAGGTAGTTGGCAAACGTTGACTTGTGGTGCCGGGGTAAACGAGATGAGTTCGCCGCGTACAGTTCAAATGCAGGGTGATGTTGCAACCTTGGCAACTACCAGGCAAATGATAGTAGAGACGAGGATGGCGGTGCAGTGTAAAACGCAACATGAGGGATAGGCAGAACAAGGAATCTTTGATAAACTTACCTTCAACTTTGAAATGATCAAAGACGCGCCAGCTCGCGTCGAGTCCCGGATCCAGATCTTAAAGGGATGGAGATGGGCAAGACAAGAGAGGAATGAGTAACCCACGTAGTGATTACGATCAGACGATTAGGTAGTAAAGCGACGATGAATGAGAGTCACTCTTGCACTACTAAACGAATACTGGCAAGATGAGGCGCAATGCGCGTTGGTCGCGGATATAAATAAAAAAGTAGTAGATATTTGTTTGGTACGTTGAACTGAATCAGACCAAACAAATAATAGTAATACGGCGATAACCTAGTATCGTTGATATCTAACGACGACGAGGTTCACGAAGAGCCGATAAAAAACGGAATTCGCGATGACAGTAGGTGCGCAGGTGGTCAAAGCGGTAGTGGTCGCGATAGTGGCCGCGATAGTTACTCGATACTACCGTTTTGGGGGAAGGATTGGAATGAATAAAAAAAACTTAAAATATTAAACAACGAATCGACGAGCAGAGCGCACGGGGGGAAATAAGAAAAGACAGAATGGGAGGGAAAAGGTACCTCGGTACTTTCTGTCGCGTGGTGCGCGTGCAGTGGTGAGGAGGTATGAGATCAGTTTCTCAAGATGCGAGGCGGTGTCGGTGCTCGGAATATTAGAGAGGGGGGTTGGGGTTGGGCAGAAATGGAAAAATAGGAGGAAGGGTTGTAAAAAAAAATCTCAGGAATCAGAGGTCTCTTTTTTTCTTCGTCGCGAAAATTTCTGGTTTGGGGCCACTTTCCTATTTGTAGAACGCGCTTTCCCGGGCTGCGAAATCACGGTTCGCCATTACTGGGGAATTACGACAAGGATTATATCGAGGACAACGCCTGCCGTGCTTGTATCAAAGCATCAAACAGCAAATCATGTTGCTTAGATATCGAAATATGGGGCCCTTTGATACAGTGAACAAGGGTGCACACTCCCAAGATTGATCAAGTACCCATCTTGATACTGCATTGTGTGTATGTACGCAGGTACACGTAGATACTGTGGATGAATGGTGGGAAACGGTTACCTGGCATTTCTGGATTGACGGAGGAACTCGGGTCTAGACCTTGATTGTCTGGCACCGCCTTATACTTATTTCTCGTTTCTCGTTTCTCGGGAAGCCGGAAGGGAAGCGTTGAGTTGCGACTCATCATGGATTATGATTATGTTGGAGGATGTGATAAATTTTTGCTGAGTGAACGGACAAGCAAGGCCCGGATGCTCGAAGATTTGACGAAAGAAGTATTGTTTGGCGGGCTACCTAGGTACCTGATAGAAGAGCCAATCAGATTTGGAGCGCAATGATGACCTTCTGGCCACTGCCCAATCATGACGCGTAGGGCTCAGAAATCCTTGCTCGTCCGAAATGATAGAAAACACCGGTACTCTTTATTTCGATACTAGATTGGCCCCGGGCGTGCAACGGTAAAATATTGCTTCATTGTTGACTCATCAAGAACAATATTCTGCTTTAGCATCACATGACCTGGGAAAACTGATGTGAGAATGTCGTTGCTAAAGGTTTTCTTTGTCTGCCTCGAAGGGACACATGTTGTCTTCAAGAGATGCTTTGAAGCTCTGCGCCCTCAAAAATTGTGTCGTTTTGAAGTTACGTAGTAAAGGAGAAATTGTGTAGCTTTTTGGATTGAGGCACGCAGTTACAGTAAAAAATATCTACCGAGTACATAATATTACATTAGATATTTTCCTGCCAACTGGTAAATTATTGATCAGTTGGCTGTGAAGTTTCAAGACTAACCTGGGTCCATACCTAGGTACGTACCTGGATAGGTGATCCGTGCATGTCTCGGTTGCGGAAATACCAAACACCTATCATACTCAGCTAATTCCTTATCAAGGGAAAAAAAACTAACGTAAAGTACCTTTCACCTCACTACCTAAATATTATGTACTCGCGTGCAAAGTACAAGAAATTTTTAATACTTTTGCGCTCGCCCTCTCCGACCTCAAGAGGGTGTAATCAAGTCCTACTTTGAATGAATCCTAGTTTCCAAATCTCTCTCTTCATAAAACCTACATAATCACATCATTTATCTCTAGGGCAAAATGTCAACCAAACGAAAACCACCGAGCAAGATTGCTTACCCGGTCGTTAAGCAGAGCGCAAAGAAGCCCCTCAAAACTACAATTAATGAGTCCGAGACAGCTGTCTCGGTTCCCGATATTTCAAAAGAGAGTAGAATTGCAGGCGAGAAAGTAATAGAGATTTCAAGCGACTCGGGCAGCAGCGAGTACGAATTTACAGATGAGGAACAAGAAGACGACAAAACTAAGCTAGAGACCAAGCTGTCTCAAGATCAATCCGTACCAAAGAAGGCACAAGGGCAACAAGAAAATACTGAGGATGTTGATGTCGACATGCCCTCCCCAAACTTGCCAACAGATGGCGAGTCTGATCAAGAACCTGCTCAACCCACGTTTGGCGAACTTGCCCGCGCGCATGATACCATTGAAGTTTCGAACGCAATTTCTACCCAACCCAACGCCGTCGCTGCTCCAGGGCGGTCTCTAGCTCCTCCGAGCCTCTCATCTTTAGGAACTGTTTTATCACAGGCACTCCGCACTGATGACGCAGATCTCCTAGAGTCTTGTCTTCACGTCAGCGATCTCAACACAGTCCGACAAACCATTCAAAGATTAGACTCCACCCTCGCAGGAACCTTGCTTATGAAGCTTGCGACTCGAATGCATAGACGTCCGGGACGAGCTGGTAGCCTAATGACCTGGGTTCAATGGACGTTAATTGTGCATGGAGGCGCATTAGCAACTCAGCCAGGGTTAGCTAAGAAGTTAAGCGAGTTACATCGAGTATTGGAGGAGCGATCAAGGGGCCTTAATTCTCTTTTAGCTTTAAAGGGTAAACTTGATCTATTAGAGGCGCAAATGGAGTTCCGTCGGATCGCACAACAAAACAAAGAGGTCGACGAAAGTGATGAAGAAGAAGCTGTCGTTTATGTGGAAGGGGAAGAAAGTGATGCAGATATGGTTAATGGGGCCATGGACTTGGATGACGACAACGGATTACCTGTCACAAACGGGGTAGTTGACGGCGACTCAGAAGAGGATGAAGAATCGAGCGAGGATGAAGCGGACGAAGACAACTTGGACGGTCAGGAAGATTTAGATGAGAACGATGTTAATCACGACGATGTCGAATCAGATGAAGAAGATAGCGAAGCTGAAGTAGCTGAACCTCAACGACCGGCAAAACGTTCGAGGACGAGAAGAAGATGAAAGGTTCTCGCCAGGAAATGTTAAACAAACACTTTCGATTCAGTCTAAACGATACCCGTTACTCTCTAAACCACCTATCATATCCGGTATCTACGATAGTATTGCGTATCCCGTAAGAGACATTGAACTCCCGTGGTATGGTTAAGCCTGGCCAACTTCAAGGTTACTTGGTTTCTCTTTAGGAATTTAAGCACGTATGATAATACCGTCTGTATAATGTAGAAATACGATTTTATTAACAGGTTGGTTGTTGCCTAGGTACTCCCGTCTTGTAACCCCATGGCCGATACCTTGGATACTTTAGGTAGCTTTTACAGTTGCTTATGTCCAATTTCCGAGTCTACCCCATCGATGGTTAAGGTAGGTACATACATAAAAGTACATACAGCTATCTTATGTACATATGTACTTGCAGGGTCAGTAGTCGGCCAAAGGGTTTCTTAAATACATATATGTATCTACTACGTACATATGTATGTAAGTATCCCGTAAGCTTAAAAGGTTATCAGCTAATTGGATGATGGACCTCTATCGATAAATTCTCATACATCTATCTAATCTACCAGCTCTCATTTATTTAATCGCGTCGTCTCCAAACCCCGAATTATTTCGCGTCAAGCTTCCTACCGAAAGTGAACAAAAGCTTGGATTGACTTTCTTGGATTATAATATCTTGGGTTTTCAAATTATTAATGTATTTCTTGGGTCATCTCACTTCTTTCTCGTACAACACTCGACGCCATAATGGTAGAATGCCCAATTTGTAGCAAGCAAGTCCAATCCGTCAAGATCAACGATCATATCGATTCAGGATGCCAGACTTTCCTTATTGACGCCTCGGCGTCCTCGTTCTCGTCCCAGATACCTTCGGCTACACAAACAAATGGCGCCACGTCATCGTCGCAGAAGCGACCGGCGTCCAGCTTCTTCCATACCCCATCCGCCAAACGGCAGTCAACACCCACCAAAGCGACTACACCCTCGGCTAACGGTGGTGGAATACTAGGCGGAGCGAAAACGAACGGCGGTACGAAGCGTTCCTTCGATGAAGGTCCCGGAGAAGATTCGCCTATGCAAGATGCAGGCGCCAGGACGGAGAATATAGTACCTATTGAGACCGGTCGGGTGCTGAAAAGGACCAAGACGAATAGAGCAGCCCCTCTCGCTGAGCGCATGCGACCACAGAAGCTCGATGAAGTATTTGGACAAGATCTTGTCGGCCCGCACGGTGTTTTACGATCATTAATAGAATCTGATCGGGTACCATCCATGATATTATGGGGTGCATCTGGCACAGGCAAAACTACGATTGCGCGCTGCATATCAAACATGGTTGGCTCCCGTTTTGTTGAGATGAATGCCACGAGCTCTGGTGTAGCGGAATGCAAGAAGATATTCAACGATGCGGCGAACGAGTTGGCGTTGACCGGAAGAAAGACGATAATATTCTGCGACGAGATACACCGCTTCTCCAAATCGCAGCAGGACGTATTTCTTAAGCCTGTTGAAGCGGGGACGATAACGCTCATCGGCGCAACAACAGAGAACCCAAGCTTTAAAGTCGTCAATGCACTACTCTCGAGATGTCGAACTTTCACATTACAGAAGCTGACGACGACGGACATCCAACTCGTCCTATCACGAGCAATACAAGCTGAGGTTTCGGCTACTTCTTCACCGCCCTCTCCTCTTCTTGACGAGGAACTTATGAGCTATCTTGCCAACTTTGCCGATGGCGACGCGCGAACAGCACTCAACCTACTGGAACTAGCTATGTCTCTAGCGAATAGGGACGGCATGACAAAGGAAATAATTAAAGAGTCACTTACCAAGACACTGGTATACGATCGTGCTGGCGATCAACATTACGATACAATCTCTGCGTTTCACAAATCTGTCCGCGGCTCCGACCCAAATGCCGCATTGTACTATCTAGCCCGCATGCTCCAGTCGGGAGAGGATCCATTATTCATCGCGCGGCGAATGGTCGTGATCGCATCTGAGGATGTCGGACTGGCAGATAACTCACTCCTTAGTCTAGCAACCTCGACATACACTGCAACACAGCAGATCGGCATGCCGGAAGCTCGCATCCCTCTAGCTCATTGTGCCGTAGCGCTCTCGCTCGCGCCCAAGAGCACACGCGCCTATAGAGGATTGAATAATGCATTTGCGGCCCTCAAAGAACCGGGAGTAGCGTCTTTACCAGTGCCGATTCATCTACGAAACGCGCCGACGAGGCTGATGCGGGAGCTCGGATACGGAAGGGAATATAAATACAATCCCAACTACAAAGACGGCAAAGTGAAGCAAGACTATCTTCCTGATACGCTTCTTGGGCGTACGTTCTTAGAAGACCGAGATTTGGGTACTGAGATCGATCCAGACCTAATTATGGAAGACTCTTGAGATTTCCAGAGTATAAAATGAATTATACAACTCCCGATCTTGCATTTTCAAGATCAAAATCGAGGGAACGAGGACAAGCAAAATGCTATGTATAAAGGACGATACGACAATAGCGGCGATAGGATATCCGCTCATGTAACTACAGCGCCGTCAAATCAGGATATATTTAGACATGTGTAAATGTCCATTAAACAAAATAGATAAAACCAAATAATTCCGCGCTACGCAGCTTCTGTCTGTTTCTCTGTTCTCTTTTTCTCTTTTTCTACAGACATAAATCACTATAACAGGTGACCGCTTTAAGGAATTAGGGACTGATCGGCTAGTAGGGTTAAATCAAGCACTGCTAGAACATAGGAGGTAATTAGTGTTGATAGAAGTGCAAGGCAATGCGTCGTCAAGGTCAAGATATGTCTTGGGTCAAAACTACCCGCCAAGGAAAAGCTTGGCTGTGATTGGCCAGAATGCCATGGAAATGTCCAGATTCGGCAATTCTATATATAGGTAGGTACCTGTTTTGGGGCTATAAAGCTTGATCTGACTTCTCCAGAGGTAGACAATAGAGTCCCAGTTGCTCGGTGTCTCCAGGGCTTATAGTCATGATCTAGGTATTGCACAGCACTATTCGCGCATGATCAAAGTTAAGAACAAGTAAGTTAAAAAAATCTCTAAACCATTCTGGAATTAATATATGTAACTACCCGTTAGCAATCTAGGAGGCAATTACATCATTCCTCATCTTCGCGCAAGCCGGTACCCGACCATTTGCTCTTGTTTATGTCTTCTTAGGGACGTCGTAAACCATGAAATAAGCCCCGTACTCTCCTTTTCCGCCATACTTCGCGGCGTCCTGGATCACCCTTTCGACCTCTTTGAAGCCAAGTCGCGCATAGACGCCCCGGCCAGCTTTGTAGGACATTGTAAATAAGGGGACGCCGATTTTCTCGGCGTGTCTGATACCGCTCTCGACGAGTGCGCTGGCTATCCCCTTGCCTTTGTTGTCGGGGTGGACAGCTAGGTATTCGAGCTCTAAGCAGGAGTTAGGGTACAGTCTGGCGTAGTAGATTAGCCCGGCGGGTTTGACTCACGGATATAGGTTCCCTCCGCCAGGAGACGGTCCATCACCTCGTCGTTCTTGTCGTCCATACCGTCTACTTCTTTTCTCGCACTCCACCGCGCCGACTTGGCTAGCTCTCCAGACCGGGTCCTTTCCTCGTCGCTGACATCCGGGACCTGCGCCTCGGCCCACTCCGGACTACCATCTTTTGTGGTGCGATGTTCGGACGGGAGGATCCAGCGCGCGTATCCAACGAGCTCGCCGGTGACCGGGTCCACAGCTTTCTCGTGGCGCTTCTTCTCGCGGTCGGTTACGAGGGTGTGCGGATATCGCTTTGTAGCATTTGCAATCAGAAGTTCCCGTGTGGTTTCCTTCGGCCATATCAGGTTCCAATTTGGGTCCTCCCAGAAGGCGCTCATGTTATTACGAGCTAGTGCCGCGGCGTCGGCCGCTGTGCAGCGCTCAACCTTCCAGGCCGGCATGTTTTCTGTTGTAATAAACTATAATCGAGTTAAGATCCTTGTAGTCGGAGGAAAGACAATGATATGGTGGTTAGCCAGACTAGTTCCTATGGTTGGTTTCTATAGAAGTGCGGTAGATTCAATCGAGTCTAGGTAGGCAGCGAGATAAGTAGAGAAGAGAAATCGGCTCTGGTCGGCATTTCCTGTTTCACGTAAGGGCGTGACGCTTATGCATTAGCAAGGGCCATTGTATTACCCGATCAGGAAGATGATGCGTTGTATCACTCATTCAATTGGGCACGTCTAGGTTACGGAGCTAGGTTACGGAGCTAAGTTACGGAGCTAGGTAAATGTTCAGAGCCCCTGTCATGCCGGAAGATACTTCTTCCCTTCTGTAGAACAAAGACTACCTAGGTAGGTAGTTGATGTATTTGATTCGTATCTACAAGCAAGCATATACTTAGCAAACACTATTGAAATGAGTGTCCCCAGGACCTATCCTCCATTGGCCCATTCCATTCAATATTCCCTCAAACCCCTCAGTCCTCAAACACCTTAGCTAACCTTTCTAGAAGCGTATCGTGTAAAGGGCGATTTAAGGGACAGCAACTCGCCCAAGGATCTAATCTACACGATGCTTTAGGTACATGCACGTATTGCTTACTCTTGCTGAGCAGCATCGTAGGTGTCGTATTTCTGCTTAGATGGCTCCCTCTTGTCAACTTCTTGGGCAGCATCATAAGTATCATACTTCTGCTTAGAAGGCTCTCGCTTTTCAACCTCTTGAGCAGCGTCGTAAGTGTCATACTTCTGCTTCGAGGGTTCGCGCTTATCCACTTCTTGGGCAGCATCGTATGTATCATACTTCTGCTTCGAGGGTTCTCGTTTCTCCACCTCCTGAGCGGCATCATAAGTGTCATATTTCTGCTTAGAGGGCTCTCTCTTGTCTACCTCCTGTGCAGCGTCGTAGGTGTCGTACTTTTGCTTGGAGGGGTCTCGCTCCTCGATTCCCTGGGCGGCGTCATACGTATCATATTTCTGCTTGGAGGGCTCACGGCTATCTATAATGTCAGTATCCTATTCGTCGAAGTAGGCTGGAGAACAGATAATATGAACATACGCTACGATAGAGTTCTCCTGAACAGGGAGAGCAACTGCGGTGGCGGCGAGAGCTCCGAGGAGGGCAATGGAAGTCTTGACGAAGTGCATCTTGGTATTTGTTGGTGTTGTATGAGGAGTTGAGGACTGTCTAATTGAAGGAATTGCTTTGTGTTCTTGTGGAGGATGGATGATGAGTAGGCAATACAAGGTAGGAATACGCCTTCTTAAGTCTTTTTCTTCTAACAAGCCAAACAGGTAGGTTATGTGACTATCCACGAGAATGACGAATCGATATTCGTTATCCCCGGTAGACTCTTTCCGAGTTCCTATACCTCCTATGGTATTGGGATTTGCATGATAAATTGCTCAAGAGGCCGAATATGCTGTAATACCCACAGGTAGTCAGAAGGTCTCGGGTATGTGCAATGCTTGCAGATATCACACTTGCTAATAAGGGTAGAAGCAAGTAGGATTTCATCCCCGGAGTTATGACATCGTATCAACATCTCGGCAGTTATGAAGTCTCCACTAGAAGCATAGTAGTGATAGCCACGGCTATGAGCAAGCTGGAAACTTCTAGCGAGGAAATTAGGTAAAATATTGAGATGAGGTTTGTGATGTAGCATGTAAGATTCATATGCATTCATACATATGCTCTATAAGTGGACTTGGTTTATTAAAAGTACAAATAGAGTAAACTATTGTGTTGATCTTCAATAACAATGATCGATCAACCGTTTATTATTCAATCCGTTAAAAAAGGTGAGCACCGTTTTTGATATCACGCAATTATAGTCTTGATTTGGTCACTGATTTACAGGCTGCGCTTATAGTTGTCAACGCGGTTAAGCGGCGCGGAAAACGAGCTGTCCTGCAGATCCTGCATCTCCGGCTTTTAGCTGTGCCTAGCCGAGTCTAGAAAGCTTAATCCTTCCCGAGTCCGCATCCTTACGGTCCCGTTATCCGGCATACATGGGTACCTATTTAGCGCCGCATATACGTATACCTAGCGAATCAAGCTTCGGGCCGTAATATCTAACCCCGGCTTGTGGCGAGCTAGTATACAATCCACGAGCTTCAACACTAAAATCTTACTATTCAGCCCATGTGACTGTAGCTATAGGTCTAGCATCCCCACAAGAGAGGTGATACAACATCACGACATGGAGGATTTCATCTTCAAACTTGACCACCTTCAATAAACATGCATGCATATATGCATGGACAATATTAATGAAGTAGGCATGTAAATGCGAACTCGATCAGCGTGATTATCCGTACCTTTGCAAGAGGGGGAGAGAGGTCCTAGTTAGTGTTGCTCCGATGGGGACGAGACTCAAGATAATGTCCTACCGGTTAACATCTGCCATAAACAGACAAATGGGCCCATGATCCTGCGGTCTATCATCATTCATTCTTTTCGGGCTTAAGCTCCCAGGGAAATCAGAACTTAAGACTTTATACCCAGCCCATCCTCCTTTTCAACTTTGTCTTATACAATTCTTCGTGTCCTAGAATCTATTAGTCATAAAGCCTATCCATATCGAAGATGGGTTTCAAGTCAAAGGAAGCAACATATGAGCCACTGGTCTCGGATGAGGCGCGGTTCTCACAGAGTTCAGATGGCCTCGAGAGCCAAGAGGGCAAGCCCATGTTAAGACGAAGCTTCCAGAGAACATCCTCTCGCCTCAGCTCTTGGGCCAAAGCAGGCGGCACAGCCCTAGCAGTTCTAAACACGATTCTTCTAATAAGCATTATTGTCGTACTATCGCTTTCACCACACGAAAAGGAATGCTCGGAAGTCCAGTGCGCTGCTAAGACCTCATACTATTGTAAGCGATGAGAATCTTCAGGTCATAGTTGCCAAAGGCTAACAGTAACAGCTCCGCTCCTGGAAGAAGACTCCGGTGCTATCGAATATGAAACTCGCAGGTTCCAAGGCGCTCTTGAACACCACAGCATCTATAAGGGGGCACCTAACAAGGAGCTTGATGCAGCATGGGAAGAGCTCACGCACAGTAAGCTACTATAGTCTGAAGTCTTAAAAGCCGCCAAGTTAAACTTACAAAACTAGTGAATAATTCCGGCGTAAGTGGTGAAGTCATAGACCGCATTGGAAAGTCGCGTGTTGCCGTAAAATACCCCGAGTCTCAGGGCGGGCAATATGATGTCGGCATTGAGGTTTTCCACCATATGCACTGTCTGGTATGTTCAAATTGCGGCGCAATGATTGCTATATCAATTACTAACAGGAGCAGAACATCATTCGCCAGTATACTTATAAAGAATACTATTTCCGCGCTGAGAACCGGCCGCTAAGTTTTACTGATTCCGAACCTATCATCCGCGCTCATCTTGACCACTGCATTGAGATGCTGCGCGAAGCTCTGCTGTGCCACGGCGATGTTGGTATCATTACCTACAACTGGGTTCATCCATGGGGAATCTACCCCGACTTCAGCACGCAGCACAAGTGCCGCAGACTCGACAAGATTGTTGCTTGGGCTGACAAGCATGCATTGCCGGCAGAGGACCCCGAGCCTGATGAGAATACAGTATGGCTCAAAGGGCCGCCGCAGTAATAAGCCATTCTAACTTATACCTACCTACTCAACAGATTGTAGGAGAATATCATGAAATATAAGAGACTTGGCTTGTCAAGTGTGAACTATCTAGGGTTGAGATCATAGATATTTGAGATGGTAAGGTTGTGAGATAGGATTTATTGCTTTAGAGAATAACATGAATTTCCCAAAACTTGATATAGGAAGAGTTAAACTCTTGGTCACTCGTTAGAATCGTGTGAATGAACGCTCTCAGGCTTAGTAACTTCGTAGGATGATAAGCAAAAGTATCATAACAGTTCCAAGTTCATTATTCTATGCTGCACTACAGTTTTCGTCGGTACGTTAGGTATATTGGCAAGTTGACCTTCAATACTAAAGCTTGCGATAGTATAGAAGTGGGCTAGTGAAGGCGGTGTTATCTAAAGATGTCGGTGCCATCAAGGTAAGCCGAGGGAAGTATTAACAACACCGAGCTTCCTGCGTGCCAGTGACAGTAACTAAGATAACAAATTGAATGCGTACTACTGTATAGCTAGATACGCAGGCTGACATACCTTAGGTGGTGATCAAGATAGTAGCCTCGGTTCAAAGGTAAATTCAAAGTCCTAGAATGTTCGATATTGATCTTCGAATAAGCTTGTTGCCTAACCAGGTTTCTTTTCTCCTACATGCCTTCACTGCTTATGGACCTGCTACATACTATAACTCAAGGCGGTCAAGATAGCTAAAGAATCACGCGATACTTAGACAAGCTACAGGTATGTAACATCGAGAACTAAACTCTTCCCAACCGTATAAAACGTGGTTACGCTCGATGCGCCAATCAGAATATATAGATCGGGGTTTGAATTTCCATTCTCGATCCCGGGGTTGTATTGGGGTTAAGGCTAAGCTTTCTGCGACCTGCGACCTGCGACCTGCATCGATGCTGTGCCTCACTACCACCTGCAGAATTACTCTCCATCCGAATTGTAGTCATACTATTAAATCCATGACGCTGTGGCTACCTTGCATGTAAGACTTATACATGTGAACTATCAAGCAAATGTTAGGTATGATTCCGTGCCTCACAAGTGTCCACATCGCCGCTTTTGCTCCTAACCATCGCCGATACGTGTAACGTGCCGTTAGGAGGCGGCAGTTAGCAAATGGTTCATTATACGACCTACATTTTAGCGTGATGGCACAGTTGGCAACGGATATGGGGTCATAGGATTCATTAAACATGCGGTAAAGCAAAGAGGCTAGTATGCCGTGATAATACCATGGTTCCGTGCTGCATGTTAGTGAATTGGAAAGTCGTCCTCGACTAGCATCACCGAGGATCTTCCCCCTCTCCCTTCATATAGAATCCGGAGAATGGAAGATAAGACCATTCCTAAGACCATTCCTAACTCCGACTCTGAGGTACTTGACAAATTAGAGACCCCTTCGATTCATCCAGATGCTTTATACACCAACTATGTCAACTCTACCTAGTTGCATCTCCTTTTCTCAATAATATTCATTCTATTAAAAGGAATTACTCGTGCGACGAAGGGCTCACCTCCTAAATGGCGAGCACAATCAATAAGCCGAGCGGCATGCCAGCCAGAAACCAGAGCATGCCGCACATACAAGACAAAGAGCAATATGAAGGTCTCTTGAGTGAGAGCGATACACAGTCGCTGGATCGCGAAGACCTCCGCGCCTACTCCAAGAGGCGGCGGCCCTGGAGCTCACCCTTCTTCTATATCCCTACAATATTGTCAATCTTCCTCGGGATGGCCCTCGTCGCTGTATGTTCTACCAACGCAGCGCGCCTGGACTCTATGCTCAGCCAAATACAAGAAAAAGTCTCAAGCCTCGAGACTGCTACGGCGTTAGCTCCCGCGGCGCAAGTGAAGCCATCCAAGCCCACAGGAGAAGAGTTCGGCCATTGCGGCCACTCCATCAAAGAAGCCGAGTCGCTCGGCTGCATTTTCGACCCTATGTCCTGGGCGTGGCAAAGACCCGAGTGTTATAATGCCGAGCTAATAAACGACTTCCTGGGCATCTTCGAATGGCACTTCTTCCCCAACAACGAGACTCGGCCGGAGGAGGAGCTATCGCGGGATACTTGGGTCCGCGGCCAATATAACGGTGCCTGGGGCTCTTGGGCATGGCACATGTACCATTGTTCGTACTCGTGGCGCAAATTTGATGCTGCTTTCCATGCCCAGAAACCGTTGGATGACGATATCCTCGATCCTGAACACACTAAGCACTGCTCTGTCGAGATCATCTTGCGGGACACAGACCCGGGACTTCATGCACCTTGTCTTTCGAACCCTGAGGCTTGCGCAATCTCGCAGATGTGGATGAAGTTTAATAAGTGTGGCTATTACTGAAGATCATCGCTGGTAGTTGATATCTAACTAGAGCATGGGGTTTGGTGAAGTTAGCTTACCCAATTCATAGCTTCTCATGAAGATGCTACATAGCCTCTCCGTATCAAGTGCCTGCATGTGGTATAGAATAAAATAGATTCTTAGTAATTCTTTTGTGCTCATGTAGTTTTGTGGTGGTTTAGAAACTATAAGTTTATTGTTCCTTAAGTGCCTAAGAAGCAGGTAGACTTTGTACGAGTTGTGGATAAAACATGAAACGTGAAAATCCAGGTACTATATAAATTATAGTAAGCATGGCCAATAAGAAACATGCGAATTAAGCCCGAAAAACAGTACATGGAGGTAAGAAGTATTATGTTGATGTTTGATATAAACTTGCCTTTTATCTATCAAGTAACAACCAATTCTCTAACTTAATGACCAAAGCCATGGAGGCTAAAGTCAAGAAGAATAAGTTACAGCAAGTTCAACTTGATCAAAGACTTAAAGGAATGACGAGTTTTATTGGTATAATAAAAAACTAAACTAACGAGCGACATTAAGGAGCAACATAAGAGATCATAACTTGCGTACATGAGAAAACAGCTCTGTATACATGAAATTTGAAATACGAGAGAAAACACCCAACATAGGAAATTATTCAAATATTGCCATAATGTTCCCCTAAAGCGACTTTTCATCTTGACAATTGAAAAATGTGACCCAAGACAGTGAAAACAAACATTTGATAGAGGTATAAGGGTGTTGATAACATTGCAATCTGGAAACAATTGATAACATGAAGATAGAGATCAATTGAAGAACGGAAGGGTTTCGAGATCATTCAGGAGTTAACATGACCGTTCGCAAAGTACGCGGATCTCAACCACGTAAGAGTTTGGTAAAGTTGGGGGTAAATCACCTAGTCCTTGGAGACGGCTTGCAATTGTGATAATCAAGTTTCTCTAAGCTTGAATAATGCTTTCCACAACCACAACAATCATAAACAGTCTTCTCTCGAGGAGCTGGCAAATACTCGGCAGCATCTGGGTGTTGAGTGGTTAAATGCCTCATAAGGTCCCTCTCACGTATATAACCTCTGCGGCCAACTCGGTCGCATCCAGCTACATGACAAGGAAACGGGGTATCCCCATGGGCGTCTTTCAGGTGCTTTCTATATTCGAATTGGTTCTTGAAAGGAATGTCGGCCAGAGACCAAGACCAGGTGAAAATTTTGAGCCCCTCGCCTCGATGATGTTCACATCCAGCATGAGGACATACCAGAATCTGATGGTATCGGGACCCCCAATATTTAGATTTGGGACCAGATTTGGGACCAGATTTGGGACAAGATTTGTCGATTTCCTCCTGGTCGAATCCGTGATAGCCGCGAAGGTGTTGAACCAGATGATCTCGTCGGCCGAATGCCTTCCTACCGTGATGGCGTTTGCAGAATTTGCAGGGATAAGAACGGTTGTCCTTGCGAAAGGAATTACAGTGTCTATTTAGAGCATCGAGACGCGAAAATGTTTGGCCGCATGAACATGCAACAGGGTTATGTTGTGAGGTTGACGCATGGTCATTGAGCTCGGTCTGGAGTGGGAACGATGTATGGCATTGGATGCATGAAAACTTGGAAGGTCCAAAAACTGGATAATGATCAGATGCGACTGGATCAGCCTCGCAGCTCTCGGAATATGGGCTTTGCTTCAGCTGGGTAGCTGGTTCTCTTGATTCGTCAAAGGTTCCTTGCTTTTCCCTATATGTGTAATGTATTTGGTTAAAAAAAGGTTAAAACTAAAGGTATTAAGGTTTAAAAATGGAAGTTTTTAAATTAATTAAACGGAATAATAACGGAATTAAACGGAAAATATAAGTTTTAAATAAAAATTTGGTATAGTGGAATTTTTTCTTTTTATTTAAAATCTAATTAATTATATATATTAGGTTAAAGTTAGGTAAAAGATACGTATTTTGAAGAAAAAATAAAAGTGGGGAATTGGAAAAATACGTATTCTATAAACCTTTAAAAAGTTCAAAATTAAAATCGGTAGCGGAAGGCGTGGTTTGTAAATATAATTTTGGTGGTATTTATAGTAAATTTATTTTAATAAGTTATGTAATATATATGTATAGTTCGAAAAAAAGTTATATTAATAATTTATAAAGTTTATAGTTTAAGGTATTATTGGTTTATTTTTATTTAGCGATTCCTTTACAATAACAAGAAATAAACTATTAATAAATCTTTAAAACGTATATATCAATTTTAATTGAAAAATTTTTAGTTAAAGTTAGGCTTTTATATAAAATATAAATTTAATTATATATTATTGTTTTTGCTGGATCTTAAATAAAACTAAAATTAATATATAAATATTGATATTTATTATATATATATATTTAAATATATCCTACTAAATATCTAACTTAATTTTTAAATTTTTTAATTTATTTTTTAAAATATTAATAAAATATACATTATACCAATTACTACAATAATTTTTAATAAATGTCTTTGTAAAATAGAAATTATTGATTTTGTAATACAATATACCAAAATATATAAACCAAATTATTAGGTTAAAATAACCTTGATAGCTTTGCAAAAAGTAATAGGGGTATGTAATAAATTTAAATGTTTTAAAAATAAGGTTAAAAATGAGGTTAAAAACAAAACCAAAGATAATAAATTAGTTATTATATTAGTTATAGCGGCGTTAATAAAAATAATAATAATAAAATAAACTAAAACAATTTTTTTAAAAATAAAAACTACAATTAATTAACTTATATCAGCCTAAAATTTTAAAATAAAAACTTAAAAATTAAAATACTGTTTAAATTAAAAACTATAAAACACTAATTTTATATATTACAAATGCATTACTAAATATAAAAAGGCTACAAAACCTCCATCTCTTTATATAATTAGCCTTAAGGCCTTAAAAACCTCGTTCTTTCCTTTTTAAATACCTTAATCGTAATTACTATCCAATAAAAATTATTTATTCAAAATAATATTTATTTAACTCTTCCATTTCTAAAATTTATAAAATATTATCAACACTAACGTATTAATTCATCCAACATTTTATAATAATATTCCCTACCCAAAATATATTTATATTGTTAAGAAATTAACGCCTTCAAAATAAATCATTAACCGTTTCACTATAAACTTCTATTTCTCTACTCGATTTAAATAATCCATCAAATTATCGATATAATTAATGTTTGGTAAGGATAGTATAGAAAATTAATCTAACGCTAAAAATATTTATAACGTTTAAAATTTCTTTAAAATTAAAGTTGGAAAAGCTTAAATCAAAAAAATTCCCATTTTTTAATCTAAATTTTCTACATATTAAACCGTTAAAATTATAAAAGTAAATATTAAAAAAAGTAAGAATGGTATAGATAAAAAAATTATTAAAACGTAAATCGCAATATATTACGCTTTAATAATGGATGTATACGATTGATTTAATAATTTACTAATACCATTTTTTTTAAAAATTAAAAAGAATTATATTATTATTATTTATATATTTTTAAAAACTTCCATAACTTATTTTAGCAAAAAATAATTCCAATAAAAATTCCGGATTATTTTGTTATTTAAAATATTAAATAATTCGAGGGTGTATTCCTAATACTCCAAAAATTTAACATTCAATTACAAAATAATAAGTAATTTTAACAACAAATTATTTATTATTTATTAGCCAAAAATATTTTAAAACTACACCAAATTAAATTTAAAATAAAAATGATGTTAAATTTAGTTGGAATGGTAAATATACTATTAAATTAAAAATGTTAAAGGTTTTGGGAATAATATTGTAAAAATTTAATTTAAAAAATAAAAATTATTTAGGTTAATTAAATACCTTTAAAAATATATAGTTAGTTAATTAGGTGATTTAAGAGAATATTTTGTTTTCTCGTAATTATGCGTTTATGTGGCTTTTATGGTGTATGATAATTATATAATTTAATAGTGGTTAAATCTTTTATTAAATTAAATTATATAAAAATAATTATAAATTTTGTTAAAGATTTTAATAGTCACTTTTTTTATTTAAAAAACTATTAATATAACTAAATTGCTATAAACTTTAAACAATTATCCTCATATCTTTATCCTACTTATTAGCCTAATTATTATAATACGGTTGTATTTTAGATAGGATATTGGAGTTCTTAATGTTTGGTTTCCTAGATGTTAGGTTTACAGTAACTATACTATCTTTGTAGTTAATTTAATTTTGTTTAATTAGATTTAGCACTATTAATTAGGACTCAAAAATACGTTGAAAAAAAGATAGGTTATATAAGATTATGGAAGGGATATTTTTAGCAAAGTTTGATTATTACTTAAATATTAGTTGGAATTAATCGGACATTTTTTTAGTGTGGTGCGAAATATTTAATGGAATTTAAGATTTATATATAAAGTAATTAATTATTAAAAATTTTGTTTTTATTTAGGAATAAAACTAGTTTATAAATGGTAAAGAAGGTGTTTGCGATCTTGGAAAAAGCTAAATGGTTCTTAAATTATCCGGTTTAAATTTTTAGTTATTTTTTATATTAATAGATTTTTGTAATAAGTTATAATAAAATAATAGGATTTGGAATCGAAATTATAATTTTATATTTAATATGGAATGTTTAGGATATTTTTAAAATAGTGTTGATGAGGGTTATGATACAAATCTTATTCCTTTATAATTTAATATAGATGGGAATGATAATGTTTAAAGTTATAATAATATAATATCAATATTTATATTTAAAAATTTTCTATATTTTTTTGGAGAAAGGGAAATAAAAAATTAAGATTAAAATCCTATTTTAAAATCTAATTTCCCACCTATAGAAGGCATTTAAGATTTTTTTTTCGATATACCCTTAAGAAATTATAATGTAAATAATCTTATATTTTAGATTGGCGTAGAATTTTTATTATTATAATTTAATATATTAATATTTTTTAATATTGCATCTTATATTATAATGTTATTTTTCGTATCAATTTTATTTATATTTAAATTGATTAAATTATACATCGTTTTTTTAACCGTACTTGCCGCCTTCTTTTTGATAAGTTTTAATTGCTATTTCTAATCGAAAATTG